TTCGGATCCACAGAGCACGGCCAAACAGATCTAGAAATAAGAAAACACTGTGGATAAACCACTTGGAGAAAGACCACAAGGGTCGGAAAAAGCCAACAAAGGCAGGGAAAAGCAGCATGACAAGCAAAAAAGAAAAAAATGCAGGAAAGGAAGAGGCTGGGCCACCGCCGGACACCCAAGGGAACCGGCGGCAGCCCTAAATGGAAGGGGGAAAGCCGGACTCTAGAGAGAAGGGAGAGCAAGCAATTCAAATAAAAGTAAGAGAGAGAGTCTTTGCTAATATAAGCGAAGCTGAAAACTACTCTCTAGAATAGATACTGTCTTCGGAGATGTCTCCCAAGCATAGATCCTTTGTCTAATTGGCGGGTTTCACTATATTTAAGCTTTGCCTGGAAAATGGTTGTGTTTACCACCATCACAAAACTACAGTATACGAGTTCAAAATCACTGCCAACTCCTAAACTGATAAGCTAAACTATGAGACATTTGTGAGGCCAGGAATTCAAGAGAGAGAGAGAGAGAGCTCCCATTTCTACCAATTCACATTCTCCCACGGTAAGCACAAGGTTGGAAAACAATGCTGGAATTCATCTCTCTCACCTTCATCTCGTCACTCCTAACCTCCATTTTCATCATCATCTTCTTCGTCAAATCACATCCAGCTACCAAAAACCCATGCCCAGAATCGCACCCTGTAATCGGAAACGTCCTCAGTTTACTCCGGAACCTCCACCGGTTCCACGACTGGATCACAGACATGATACGCCACACACCATCCTTGTCCATTCAAGTCAACTCCTTCCTCAACATCTCCAATGGCGTCTGCACTGCAAACCCGGACAACATCCAGCACATGCTCGCCTCCCCAAACTTCTCCAACTACATCAAGGGCTCTCGCTTCAGCGACATCCTCGACGAGCTCCTCGGCGACGGCATCTTCAACGCCGACGGCCAGATCTGGACCCTCCAGCGCAAGATTGCCAGTCACGAGTTCTCCACCAACTCTCTCAGGCTATTCGTCTCGGAAGTCGTGGATTCTGAAATCTCCGACAACTTGCTCCCTTTCCTGTCCCGAGCAGAGGAGGAAAACAGGGTATTCGATCTTCAATCAGCGTTGAATAAATTCGGGTTTAGGAGCATTTGCAGAGTTGGGTTCGGTGTGGATCCAGAATCTTTCACCCGGAATCTGGACTTCATGGACGCCTTCGACTACGCCGTGGAGAATTGCTTCCGGAGGATCACCTCCCCTGCTCCTCTGTTCTGGAAGCTCAAGAGGTTTCTTAATCTAGGGTCGGAGAAGCGATTCCGAGAGTCCGTCAACACGATCAACAATTTCGCTCTGAGAGTAATTGCATCGAAAGAAGAAAGCGACAACCGGAATCATCAGGACTTGCTAGCGAGATTCATGGTTTGGAGCTCGACCATGGAGTTCGAGGACGAAAAACAGAGGCACAAGTTTCTCAGAGACATAGTGATAAGCTTTGTATTGGCCGGGAAGGACAGCACTTCAACTGCTCTCACTTGGTTCTTCTGGCTCGTCGCCGGGAACCCACGTGTCGCAAACTTGATTAACCGCGAACTGTCGTCTTTGGGGCTCGGACAGAGCAGAAGAAGATTCGGGTACGAGGAGTTGAAGGGGCTAGATTACCTGCACGCGGCTCTATCCGAGTCGATGCGGCTGTTCCCGCCGGTGCCGCTGAATTCGAGATTAGCGGTGGAGGATGCGGTGTGGCCGGACGGAACCCAGGTGAGGAAAGGGTGGTTTGCCGACTACTCTGCCTACGCGGTTGGAAGGATGGAGAAAGTGTGGGGGGCGGATGTCCTGGAGTTTAAGCCGGAGAGATGGTTGGATGGCGAGGGACGATGCAAGGCGGTGGATCCGTTCAGGTACCCTGTGTTCCACTGTGGCCCCCGAATGTGTTTGGGGAAGGAGATGGCTTATATTGTAGGAAATCATCAATGTTATCACTACTGCAACAACCACCCACCTGCAACAACCATTACTCCTATGAGCTGGAAGATAATGGTCTGCTATCACCCATGCTCCTCCAGCACACCCATGCTTCCAGTATGGGTCTTATTGTTGTTTATTGTTCATTGTTGTTCTTCTTCCTTGTATAAATAGATTAGGAACCCTTTATAACAAATCAAGCTTTCCATCAATAAGATCATATTAGCAAATTCATCATGGTATCAGAGCTGGAATCAGATTCCAGTGAGGGAAAGCCTAAGAAAAAGAAAAGGAAGAAAAGAGTTATGTAGAGTTTCATACCATTCTTCCGAATTTCTATTCTTCTGTTCTTCGGTTTCCACTATACAAAGTTCTCTTTCGATCTTCAGCCATGAGTGAGCATTCTCCAGGCTGCTCCTCGTCAATCATGCTTCCGCCATCAGTCCATTCATTTCCCATCACGAGCATGCCTTTTCCAGGCTGCTCCTCTTCCATCTCATCCTTCCACCATCACAAATAAACACCACCATCTCCGGCCCATCTCAGTAAGGGCCATCTCTCATCCAGGCGAAGTCCTTTCCTCCTTCAATCAATCTCTCTGGCAGATCAATTCCCGGGGAGAGTCTCATTCCGGCGAGCTCTCTAGTAGCCACTGCCGTTAATCAAATCGAGTCCTCCTCCCCTGCCACTGCTCGTCGCATCTCCGTCAATCCCTGCCGTGACTCATCCGGATCGAGGTAGGGGAGAGGTCCCTGTTAGTTTGTTACCACCGCCATCGAATCCAGTTCTTGTGGCACCACTCTCGTCTTCCCGGCCGCCAGCTTGTGCCTTGGAGGAAGAAGGGATTGCAGATCACCGGCGCGAAGACCATCAGCGTCCGCGACCACATCGATTGCGCCTCTTCCGCCGACACTGCCTTCGAGTTTGTCATCATCGTTGTCGTCGGGCAAGGTTGCTCAGATCCGAGCTCCCGACATTTCCACTATCTGCGACCAGCTGCTCTGTTTGTCGTCAAACGTCCACCACCACCGACGATACCTCTACTTCTCTTGTCGGATCTGTCTCCGTCCGTCGGCCTCCGTCTCCTGTTTCCGCGCCGCGGGGTCGCCATCGCCGCCGCCGCTGTTGCTCGAAGAAAAGAAGCAGAGCAGCGAAGTTCACCGCCGTCATCTGCTCTCACTGCCCGGAAAAGACAGATCCGCTGGAGTTGGTCCGCTGCCTCTTCCCTCACCATCGCCGCCGTAATCAGCTCCTCTCCAATCGTTCACTGCTGCTCCTCCGAATCAAACACGATCTGCACTCATCGTCAGTCTCCACCCGCCATCTGCCGTAGATTTCTTGCCGCCGCCGATCTGTGTTGTTGTTGCTGCTGCGGGAGTGCAGAGGAAGAAATGGAACGACAGAGAAGAAAAGGAGAGAAAGGAAAGTTCGTCTGAGAATTGAGAAAGGGAAAAGTGGCTGATGCAAAAAAAAAAAAGGAAGAAGGTCATGGAGGAGCAGTCAGCGGCGAATTCTCCTAGGAAGGGGTATGGGGCTTCTCAACCAAATCGGGCCGTTTTGGGTTTTAAAATCCTAAAACAGATTTGGGCCGCATGCCTACTTTAAATGGTAAAAAAGGGTGGGCCGATCGTACTCTACCACAAAGCTGGGCCAGCTCCAATTCACAAGAGCTCTTTTGGGCCGCAATTAGTTAATGAGCAGAGAAGAATGGATGGGTTGTTATGTTCTCAATTGGGCTTGAAATATAGATGAAGCCCAAACGGAGACAACCCATTTTTTATCATAAGCAGCAGCCAGCAAAGGGAATTTCTTTTCCCCAACACCTACCTGAGTCAAGTTGGTTACAAGTCGTCATCCCAATGGTTCTAATGTCCCATTTTCAGGTTGTGGCAAGTTTCATTTGCAGGTAAGAAAACAAATCATCACCAAACAACGTTAAAGCAGTGAAGATCATTACAACCCAAGAGTTGGTCGTCCCTCCACTAGCTATTGTTGGAGTGAATGACAGTTTTTGCCGGCAAAGAAAGTCAAACCACTATTCGAGGATTTCCGATTAGGTTGATTACCTTGACGTTTTTAGACGGTTATCCGATCCAAGAAAAGATCGGCCCCTCGGCGTCCAAAAGGAAAATACAACCCAAGAAAAGATCGGCCCCTCAGCTTCACGAGGCACTCTCGATCAGATCGTCCCCATGGCGTTTTTAGACGGTTGTACGATCCAAGAAGAGATCGTCCCCTCGGCGCTTCAAATGGAAGAAACGATCCTAGAAAAGATCGAACCCTCGGTGTTTATTATTGGGCTAAGACCAATTATTCATCACCTTTCAAGCTGGGCATTCACAGTGTTCATGCTCCAGCTTGAGGGGGAGAATAAGGAGGATTGGGATGCTAACCAGCCAAGAAGCCGCAACATATCCTAAATTCAAGTTCCAGCGAAAAGCTGAAGGGAAAGCTAGCTAGCCAATGAGCAGCTGCTGTTCCAAAGAGAGGAAAGTTAGCTGAGAAGCAGCAACTTTTCCTGAGAGCTGTAAACGGCGCAAACCCAAACCAGTTGTTCAAAGAGACGCCATTAGTGTCCTCCAACATCGACCACGTCCAAGAAGTAACATAATCGTCCCCTATTCGTTCTGAACCATTCCTTTTCAAGCTTGACATTCTTGTCATTCATGTCTACGCTTGAGGGGGAGTGTAGGAAATCATCAATGTTATCACTACTGCAACAACCACCCACCTGCAACAACCATTACTCCTATGAGCTGGAAGATAATGGTCTGCTATCACCCATGCTCCTCCAGCACACCCATGCTTCCAGTATGGGTCTTATTGTTGTTTATTGTTCATTGTTGTTCTTCTTCCTTGTATAAATAGATTAGGAACCCATTGTAACAATTAAGCTTTCCATCAATAAAATCATATCAACCAAATCATATCAACCAATGTAGGAAACCATTAATGCATTGATGGTTTCCAACTGTAAACCAACTTCAGCCTTCATCAATGGTCTGCCTCCATCAAGCTTGCAGTCACCCATATTGTCCAGCAGCCACCCATGACTCCCATGTGCTCCAGTTGCACTCCAGACAACAGCTGCCATCGTCCATACCTCACCCATGCTCTGCTCCAGCTTTCCATCAATAAGATCATATTAGCAAATTCATCATATATACAGATGAAGGCGATTGCGTCGGCGGTGATGATGGACTTCCAAGTGTTGCCCGTCGACGGAGGTGCGAGTCCAGAGAGGATGATGAACCCACCTTACGTGTTGTCGCTGCTTCTCAGGATGAGAGGTGGGTTGCCCGTCATGATCAAGAGAAGAGGATGAGGATCGGTATTGGTATGTAGTCAATTTTTGCAGCATGTTGGTGGTTTTATTTGTAGCAAGCAACCAAGTATCGACTAAGGCCACCAGTACTATATTAGCTATAGACTCCAGATGAGTTTTAGAGATGGAAAAACACGACTAACCATGGAAAAACAGAGTTTTAGAGATGGGGAGCTAAGGAACTCCTGGGAGCAGCCTGCACATATGTTTTTTTACTATTGATGACCATATTATTGCTTAAGAAAAATGCACAAAGACTCTGTACAAAAACATACAACATCCAACCATGAACTCCTTATGTATCTCTAGACATGAGGTTGTGTATCCAAGGAAGGAGACTAACTATTGAATCCCTTCATGAAGTGTTCCTGCAATTATATCAACTGAACATGGCTCTAATGGAGTAAAATGGTTCATCATCTATATATGTATTCCTTTAATTTAAATGCATTCAACCTTTCCATTTCTCCTTATAAGACTAATCCAATCTGTTGCAGACATACCCAAGACCTTCTCATCCATGTAGTTCATCTACACTACATAGCAGCCACCTATTTCTCTATTAAATTGAAAACAGAATCACATACTTGGCTGCGCCTGAGGTATTGTCAGTCAACCAATCCTTTGCCATGTCTCTTTTGACCTTCCTTGCTGCTAAGTGCTAACAGACATTGGATAATTGTTCTCCCAACTTCCCGACAGCAACCGCATGCCCAACCCTCTCCCCACCATCCTTGTGGTACACCAGGGGTGGCAGTTCCTTTACCTGCAAGCAACTCAACCCTATCTTTCCCCTAACATACTCCATTATCTTCCCATCCGCCAATTTCCCCATTACATCTGTGACATAGAAAACATTCTGAGATGTCTCCTTCATCGTCAACACTTCAGCCCCCATCACATCTACCAGTTATCCCGAAAGTCCTCGTCACATCAGCTCTTTTAGTCCCCACACAGAAAACGCCAAAAATTGAAACAATAGTGAAGAAGTTGGGGCAATAAAGAGTAGCCACATTTCATATGTACGAGAATGTTTCAGTATTCAATCACTTTCAGACTCTGTCACTTCCCTTCTGGACCTCACATGACTCTTATGGCCTCTCATTTCAGCAGCCAGCTCCTGTATTGAACAACAAGAGCTTCTTTCCATTTTACCACCAAGTATCTCGATGGTATCCATTAGACCCAACCCGATAAGTCGGTTTCTCAGCATCTCAATAGTGGAAGAATATGGTGGAATGCCCTCATCAAGCATCATCTCAAAATACTTACATGCCTCTTCAAGCTTACCCCTTTTCTTGCACAGACCATGAATCATAACCGCATAGGTCGAAACAGATGAATAAAACTTGTTCTCCTCCATGCTCTCCCATACTTGGGTTGCTCTGTCGAATCTACCAACCCTTAATAGCAATTTCAGCACCATGTTGTAGCTATGCCGATCAGGCAAGCAGCCATCTTTTGTCATTCGGGAAACCAGGTTGGTAGCTCTGTTGACCTCTGAATGCTCGCAATGATATGCTAGTATCGCGTTGTAACTCCATGCATCAGGAGTAACCCCCTTCTCCAGCATCTCATCAAGAAGCTGGTAGGCCTCGTCTACTCTATCCGTCTTACAGAGCTTCTTTATGACACAATTATATGTGAACACATTGGCCAGAAGATTGTATCTTTTCATTCTATCAAGCACCCGGAAAGCCGAATGAATATCATTTGCCTCACAGTATGCACGAACGAATATCGCATAGCTACCAGCATCAGGTTGGATTCCGCGAGAACCCATTTCTCGGAACATGTTATACGCTTCATCGAGGTTCCCTCCCTTGCATAAAGCTTCCAACAAGCTGTTGTACGCAGGTACATCGACCGCACACCCTCGTTGAAGCATTTCATCAAACACCTTCCGAGCAGATTCCATGTCCCCAATGTTTCCCCATCCCCGCACCAATATACTATACGTTTTCACCGTCGGCTGGATCTCATGCTTAACACTATCAACAAAATCCTGGGCCTGCTTCACATGCCTGCGTTTGCAAAGCGCATATACAAGCTGGTCGAGATCATTAATCCCAGGCTTCAAATCAAACTCTGCCATTCTGCCGAAAGCTCGAATGGCATCATTCGGGAGGTTAGCCCTGCTATAAGCTCTAAATACAAGCCATAAAGTCTCTGAATTGACCTCAAAATCACGAGAATCTCTCATTTCTATCAAGAAATCCCATAGTATAGCGAACTGCCTGCTAGCTCCTAAAATGTCCACCAGAATGTGATAGCTATGGGCACTGTGTTGAAACCCAGGAATACTCTTGGCCCAAAGAAAGAACCTGTGAGCAGGGAACCCTAGATTCCTGCAGCGCTTCAACACCTGCTCGACGGCCTCCGCGGAGATTTGCGGCCGATAAGCGCGGAGTGAGAGCTCCAAATCGTGGTGCGGATTCCTATGGTCGCTGAGAAGGCGGGAAATCTCGCTTACCAGCTCTGGCAACGGCTGGGTTTGGAAGGTCTGTGGGGCGAGAGAGGCGAGAAAGCGGAAGTGAGAGCTGAAAAAGAAGGGTCTCGTTTTGGAAGCGAGAGGTCGAAAAGCCATAGCTTCGGTGACAGAGATGGAGGGAGAGAACGAAGAAGAGAGAGAAATATGACTTGGAATTAGATGGGATTTTGCAAGTTGCTACCTCTTTCATTAAATAAATTAACAATTTGGTCCTTCTAGCTAGTTGTACAGTGCACAATCGGTCCTTATACTTCATTTCATTACAATTAAATCCTTTCAATCTAACCGGTTCTACGAAAGTATCTCGTTTCCCTTATTTTGCTCATTATATAACTCAAATTAACAAGCAAATTATGAGTCGAGCCTCAAATTAACAAGCAATTATTGAGGTAATACTCATATTCCAACCTGAAATCTTTACGTTTAAAACTAATGATATTACTACTGAACCAAGAATTAGGAGTCAAAACTTACCAAAGATATGATAAAGAGGGACTTTTACCTACTAATTCACTATTATATTATTATTATTTTGATCTATGAAAAATCACATATAAATTCTGAAAGTCATTAACTACTTCCAAGAAGCGCAAGGCTATCTATGCCTAGGAAAAGAAATTATTTTAAACGACTTTCCCACATTTTTTTTTTGTCCTCTTATCTCTGGCTCATCATCTGGATTTTGGATTGCAAGGTTTGGCTTTTACCGACTTTAGGATTCTTTTTTCTCGGCTTATGATCTCTTCACAACATTTCAACGGTCCTAGCACCTAGGATTTTTCGTCTGCGGTCCGTTTGGCCTTTTGTAATCAGCGGCGGATCCAGAACATAGTAGAGCACTTGGTCGGATTTCATTAAAAATATGAGATACCGTAAAAGAAAAATAACCTTGATTTTTTTAAATATCTATTGTACACGACTGTATTTTAATATAGTGAATTCATCGATAATGGAGTCTACATCCATACCAATAGTATACTCTCTTTCAAATAAAATAGTTAAGCAATCATCGAGAAATTCATCGCTCATCTTATTGCGCAAATCAGTTTTCACATGTTTTATTGTTGAAAAAAATTTCTCTGTAGTAGCCGCTGAAACGAGCAACGTCAACACTAGACAAATCAATTTACTAATCAATTTTTATTGTGTGTGCAATCATATTTTCACCAGCTGCTCTAGTAATTTTTAAAGAGAACAAACCTCATATTTCTATTTGTCTTTTACGTTTTAGACTTTTAAGAATTTCAGGTTTCATTGTTTTTCTTTAGAAGAAAATCATTGCGCCTAGAAATTCTAAGATAAATTTGAAGTTTTGGTTTGAATATGTTCATGTGAACCATTTTTTCAAATTACACACAATCTTATTATAAAATAACACTAGGTCGTATATCCAAAATCGAAAAATTTATATGGAATATACTAGCTTCGAATCCAGAGGAGGGCTGGGCCCTGGCCCGGGGTGGCCACCCCCTGGATCCTCCACTGTTTGTAATAACCATTTTCGGTAGTAAATTATACATTCAGTCCTCGAACTTCTTTGTTTTGCATTTAAGTCTCCCCGAAAGGCATGAAACAAACCAGGATCAGGGTCAGATCGAGTGTGTATTTTGATTCAGTTTAGTTCACTCTGGTTTCGATATCATCGGTTTTTTATTTGTTTTTACTTTTGAAAGAATTTACTGAACCAAATAAAAAAGGTGATTCTACTAATGCTTTAGGCATCCTATCATTCCCCACCCTTATATGAAACCAATAATTATGCTTACCATTCATTAATTTTTTATGATTTCACTCAATTCCAAACCAGTCACAGCACTCTACAATCTAAAATTATTATGAAGCCCAAATTCAGTAGAGCTTAGTATAGCGTTGAAAGAGGTTTACTTGTGAAAACAAACCCTCACATAAATTCTATGAACAGAAAACATCACACATTTAGTCTCTTGTGCCATGCACAAAAATGTTGTTGAATGGAGAGTTTTGCAATTCCACTAACTATATTTAAATACACACATGAATATATTATCACATAGGTTAGGTTGTGGTTGAGTGTGAAATATTGTTATATTGTTAAACTTGGGTACTAATTTTTTTATGTAGAGATTTGCTCGAGAAATATGTATGTATCACATATAATTTGCACCCAACAAAGCTACGCGTTAGATCAAGGGAGTTTTTGTGTTTTATATCGTACGCACAATTGAGATATTGGAGTAAATTAAATTACATATGTGAAATTTATATTTACATATTTGAGTTTGTTCTCAAACAAAACATATAAAGTTATTGTCTTCATTCTAAGTGATATACCGTTTCAAAGTCAATACAATTTTGTTATTGTGTTATTCGCGGCAATGCAGTGCGCTTTAAAACTTAAAAACTTACGATTTTACGCTTCTAGGTCACCAAAACGCTTTCGTTTCTATGTTAAAACTTTAGTGTATAAAATCATACTAAATTACGCTTTAAAACTTAAAAACTTACGTTTTTACGCTTCTAGTTCACTTAAACGCTTTACGTTTTTACGCTTTTACTTCACTGAATGGGTCTTCTTTTCATGAAATTAATTATAAAAAGTAAATTTTAAAAATAAATCACCGACAATATGATACTTTTAAGATTAAAAGATACATACCAGATACTTGGATGCATTATGAACTTCAATAAAGTAATCTAATTCACTATCTTGGCTCTTCTCAAATTCATTAGCATGGAGGGGAAGGTGACATTTTTTATAAGATTTATATTTATGAACTTATTATTAAGAGACTATAAGTTGCTCTACTTTAGACATGAATTGTAAGTATTTATTAACTTATCTGAATTTTGAGCACTTATATTTTTCATAGTATATGTCGTACTTAACATATTTTTAGTTCTTTTACAGTATGCGTCAAAAACTTACGCTTTTACGCTTTAATTCTACGCTTTACGATTTTACCCCTTTTCCGCTTCTAGGTAGAATCGCGCTTTTGACTGCATTGATTCGCGGTGCTCTCGTATTTCCACCTCAGGTGTGTAGGAAGTGTAATCCCTATCATCTCCATTCTCATTGTAATCTTTCCTTCTCTTTGACTTTCTCCAATTACCTTCGTTGACCGAAGAAGAGTAATCATCATCATTGAACTACTTCGGCTGCTCCCTGTCATCCGCACTCCCAGACTGCTTCTCCACTTCCTTTCACTTATCCCTAGCATTTCGTACCACATGGTGCAATATGCTCTTCAAAGCCTCAATACAGACAGACGTAATCAGGTAATCACAAGCACCATGAGTTACTCCCTTCATCATCACTCTTTTGATCATCCACAAACATTATCATAACATGCAAATCCATGTCAACATCGACGTGCTCCAACAATTTGACTTCGTCCATGTCTGACATATGAACATCCCTAATGACGATATCATATCATTTTTTCTTCCCTCCAGAACTGATAGGGCTTCTTCCACTCTACTGCATATATTGCACTTCATGCTTGCAAGTTTTGAGCATCTTTTCTAGGATCATAAGACAAGTGAGATGGTCATCAGAGACCATAACATAGAGTCCCACCGGGAACTCATCACAGATGGTTTCAGTAGATTTCCAGCTAACCCTAAAGCAAACAATAGAGACACATCCCTTTCCATTAGTCGAGATGTTGGCGAAAAATTTTATAATAGCAATAAACCTACAAATTTTAGCACTTTTTCAATATAAATTTTGAACTATAAAGAGAAATCAATCATACATGTGTAGTATTTTAGTTGCTTTCAATGGCTGGAAGTCCAAATTCGTCAGTAACATTCCTACATTTGGGATTTTTAATTTTTTGAAAAAAAAATTGATTTCAAATCATAAATCCAGAAGTATATTTATAAAACATAACTATCAAAATATGATTTTCTACATCTTCCAAAATCATTGAAATTAAGGAACTGACACAAGTTTATCAAAATAATTAATAACATAATGTTGCAAGTGGAAGGACTCAAATGAAACATTATAAAGTTTAAGTACTTCAAAGGAATTAAAAAGTGAAAATTAAGGAATTAAAATACTAGATAGGATTGAAAAAACAATGAATATATAGAACCTGATCCTATGCTCGACCATTGAATTGTCTATCACTTCTAGGAGCTCTTCGAACCCCCAATTAATTTTGAATGCATGCCTCGATGCTCAAATCATCACTCATTCTTAAACGAAATCCGCGTCTCACTCCTTCAAGTCGACAACATATTGAGGAGTGCACTTGTGCTTCTTGTAGAACTTGATCACTTTGGCTAGAATCCCGCCGATGATGTTGGTCATTGGGGATCGGGGTGAGTCGTCGACACAGTCATCCTTGATCATGTGCTTGATTGTTTGTGATTGCACTGCCACCGCCTCCCACTTGGAACGGCTCGTCGTCGCTGCTCTTCAGGGTGATAAACTTTTTCTCGCTGCACTTGTCGACATTGTTACGACAATCGGGGCTCTTGGTTAACTTCTTCAGATATTTTTTGTGGCGTGCAAGCGATCAGAAAGCGAGAGCGATTGATTAATTGTTTGATGAAGATGTGAGGATGTGTATGCATTGCTCGGTGTTGCTTATCCATATATATAGGAAGAGAGCCTAATTGCACATAGATTTGATTTTAGGAGCTCCGAAACCAAAACAGTAAACATACCTTTTATGCATGTTCGGAATTTTTTTAGTTGCGCCTTAATCGAATAATCGTTCATTTCAACGGGTAACTAGTAAATCTACAAATTTAAGACGAACAAGGGATTGGTCTAGTGGTAATACCACTAGTCATGAACCTGGAGGTCCCAGGTTCGAGTCCCTTTAGTAGTACCTAATAACAAAACAAAAAAAACATATATCACCCTTATTAAAAAAAAAAAAATCTACAAATTTAAGGACCAGAATATATATCAGCGAAAATATAAAATGTGTGACCAAATTGTAGGCCTCACCAAACTTTAGGTGAAATCCGTAGTTATCCTAAAATCAGCGAAAAGACAATATCGTCCTTCTCTCTTGCGGTTCATGCTGTGGACACATACAGCTCTCCGGTGGCAATCGGCAAGGCTCCTTTCCTCCCCTGACCCAACCATCATTTATAGAGGGAGACGCTGCGATCGCCGACTCACTTCCCTGCCTCCAGAAATGATGGCGCTGATCACCAGGAACTCCGCTTCTCGCCTCCCGCTCCTCCTCGCCAACCACCGCGCTGCCGCCGCCGCTTCTCTTCATACAACCATCCCCTCGCTTTCCCCCGATAACGCGACCAAACCGACCTCTTATGCTCCGCCGCCTTCCCCGGCCACCTCTTCCCCCGTGGGGCTCTCAAAGACGGCCGAGTTTGTGATCTCCAAGGTCGACGATGTCATTAACTACGTCCGTCGAGGCTCCATCTGGCCCATGACTTTCGGGCTCGCTTGCTGCGCTGTGGAAATGATGCACACCGGTGCCGCTCGCTACGATCTGGATCGATTTGGGGTTATTTTCAGGCCTAGCCCTCGCCAGTCCGATTGTATGATTGTCGCTGGTACCCTTACGAACAAAATGGCCCCTGCTCTTCGCAAGTAAGTCCATCTCTGATTTTAGGGTTCCGATCTTTTCAGCCGATTGGGGTCAGTTTCTTTTTAGGGTTAGTGTAGAAAGGATTTTACTTTTCCTATTTTTCGATCTAGTTTTTTGCGTCCCTAGAGGAATTATGCTGATGGGAGCCATGGAATTTGAATAGAGGGGATCATTGGGTTGTTTGCGCGGGCGAGGTTGGGGGTTAGCTTAGTACTGATGGTTGGTTTGTTGGTCTATTCCGGAGCAACAGGAGGAACATTGAATTCCTAGATTATTGGAGAAAGTAATGTTCTTACCATTTTCAATGTAAAGCACTCAACTTGATTGAAATTCTGAGCATTAGGTTTGCAACTTACAAATTTGGATAGCCTCACTTCGCGGAATTTGGATTTCTGCTCAAGCTAGAGTTGAGTTTCACAGTCCTACGGGATAATTACAATGCCATTCCTTACTAGATCCTCTAACTTAGGTTGATCTTTCTCTTCATCAAATCATATCCACCATCAGTTGCTAGGTTATCTGGTTATGTTCAATTATGGAGGAAAAATTTGGTGTGAGCAGTCGTTATTAAGTTGTCATGAATTTGATTGGTTGTGAAGAAGCACATAATGGCTGCTGTTGCTTAAAGATGTGTTAAATAGGGTTGATGTAAAGCGTCAATACTTATTATCAGAGTGTTGAGAATGTCTTCCTCAAGAGTTTTTTTTTTTAATGGTTTAGGTTTAGGGTGCTAGTAGAATACTCTTGTTTGATGTACTTGGCTTACAGAAAGTTTAGATACACATGTAGGAAGAACAGATTCTTATGTGATATATTATGGTGGCTTATATAATTAAGTGGCTCTGATTTAGTGCATTGATTTTTTGGTACAAGAACCCAGTTGAAGCTCTCCTCAACTGCTCCAATTAGCAACTTAAGAAGTTGCATTGCTGTTTCTGATTAACTGATATAATTCAAAGGTCGCAGCTTGTTGATGGTTGAACTAGTTACTCTTGCTTCACCATTCCTCGTATGTGAAGGATATTTGTTTTCTTTAGACCATGAATTAATATGGGCTGATAAAATGTGTGTACAGGGTGTATGACCAGATGCCAGAGCCCAGATGGGTCATCTCCATGGGAAGCTGCGCCAATGGTGGTGGATACTATCACTACTCGTATTCTGTCGTACGTGGCTGTGACAGGATTGTCCCTGTGGATATCTATGTCCCAGGTTGCCCTCCAACTGCTGAGGCCCTACTCTATGGAATACTTCAGCTGCAGAAGAAGATCAACAGGCGCAAGGATTTCATGCATTGGTGGACCAAATAAGACCCTCTCTGAAACACTTCTAGAGGGCAGCTTGGTTACCAGCTTCTATGGCACCTAAGAATTCAACGTTGTTTTGCCTTGTCTTCTGTTTATTAAGTGGTGTGCGAGGATAGAAAGATATTTTCCACCGTTATTGATGGCCCTGTTTCCATAACCTGGGAAAGCCTTCAGCCTCCGGAGCTCTGGAGCTACTATGCCTTCTCTGGAAAAGATATTATAACTTTGATTGGCATGAAAGTGCTTGCATATTTGTTCATCTTTTCCTTTTCTTTTTGCTGTTTCGGCCAGTTACTTGGTTGATTGTTGTTTATTACTGATGCAACTTGGAATTGGTTTGTGTTGTTATCTGGAGCAAATAAAGAGCCCTCTTGTGATCTGTCCATCCCTTGGCTTCAAAGTGAAACTAGTAGCTACTCCTGATTCTGGCTTACCTGTGTGAGCTTGTTGTTGTCCAAGATATCGGATGGAAGGATTGGTTTAATTTGTCGGTGTGTGTGGTTTCATTTCCCGAGTTTTCCTGGCGATTTCAGATGACCGAAAGGATAAACTGGTTTCTTCCCATTTGCTTAAAGCATTGGGCATCATTTTTGGTTTTGACGAGCTGCTTTACTTCCCTCGCAAAGGGAGGCTGCGATGAGATCTGAGCGTGATAAGTTGTAGCCTTGGAGGTTGGAAAAATAGTCAATAAGACGGTCTTTGCTTTGAGTGTGGGCTTCTTCTAGGTACCCATTTTTACTATGGGTCGAGCGATTATAATTTATAAGTTTGCAATTTGTGTGGCCTTTGGCCTTAGGTAGCGGAAATCAGAGAAGGAAATTGCCAAATTGGCAAGTCTGCTTCCATATTTACCTCAGGTAAGTAGGCCTAAAGAGAATTTAGAAGGCACAACTTCCCATGAGATTCTATTCCAGACAACTTGGGTGGGTGCTTGGTGGGAGCATGCATCGTTTGGATGTTTCTGAGTGAGACTGCAAAACAGAGTACAGAAAATTTGCTGTGTCAATACAGTTGGGTCCATGGCACATGCCTCAAAAACATTTGTTTATTTCTCTAACCTCTTTGATTCACCCACCTGACTGTGTCTTGCAATCAGTTATCTGCACTTCGGATGAATTGGGTTATCGTACTTATGGTCTCAAATGTCCTTATAGGCTTATACAATGGATTGTACAGTACTTGATATATCGTTACTGCGTGCTAATTTTGTGCTTATTTGTTAATATGTATTATTTTGTGTATTTAACAATTGTGGATTATGCTTCCATCACATAGGTACATTCTCATATAAAAATATTGACGTTTTGATATTGAGTAGTCTCAAAAAATAATAAACCGAATATATATCAGATTTTTATTTATAATATCAAAATCCTGGTGCATAACATGAACAGAATATATGTGCATGTCAGATAATTAGATGTTGTCGGTCTGTGATATCTGACATGATTTAGGATTAAGTGGCTTGAGTGAGAAGTTGCTTAAACTCACAAGGCCCAACAGATTGAGAAATGATGGCCAAAGTTTCAGACTTTGATACTCCTAAAAAGAAAAGGAAACAAAAAGAGAAAGAGGTACAGAAACATTCCTTGCTTGACAAAGCCAGATGCTTTGTATAATCTAATTGTGTTTTACGAGCAATAATTATCAACATTCTTAAATTGGTTTGGCAGAAATCACAATTCAATAAACTATTTGTAAATGGAATAGAGATGGTTTAATCAATATTTAAACTTTTGTTTAGAGGGACAGATCTGAAGATAAAGACCCCATCCCTACTGTTGGGCGCTAACTTCCTTTACTTTGCTTGGCTTCTTCTTTGTCTGTTCACTAATTATGATGAGATTGTGTAAAAGGGAAAGCAACGGGGTGTTTAAAAAGGTGGCAATAAGCAACAATATATAAACTGGATTCAGTCAGTGGGGTCTCGATATGAGAGCAGCTGGTTTGTGTGTCTCTTAGTATAAAACGTCAAAAAGCTCAAATCTTTGGCATTTTCTGATTTCCACCATTCCCTTCTCCTCCTCCTTCTCCATAATTATTTCAGTTGAGGGAGCAGGAAGCTAATCAGCAAAATGTGCAGGCAACTGGTTGCATTTACTCTTATTTTCTTGCTTCTTCTCAATGGGTTCTCTTCGGTTTCAGCAGCCACTCCAGCAAGTAAGCAGGTTTTTGAAGTTCGCCCGACCTAAGCTTAGTTCATACTTCAGTGTTTACTGATTCAAATCTTTGGGTATTACACATGATGCAGAAATTGTGACTGGAATCGTCACCAATGTGGTTTCAGCACTTGTGAAGTGGCTCTGGTCCCTCAAATCCAGCCCCAAAACAGGTAACTTAGTTGCTTCTCTTCATTGGATTCACAAAGAGAAGAGGCCTATTTGCTTGCTTATGCTGTTGTTTCATGGGTGAATGGGTAATTATAGGGACAGTTTCAAGGCTGAAGGGTTTGATGGGTGGGGAAGCTCCTCCAGCTGTTTCTGGGCGTTCCCTGGTAAAATTTGAAGATGGGTACACAGTAGAGACTGTGTTTGATGGAAGTAAGCTTGGGATTGAACCTTTCTCAGTCCAGGTTTCTCCAAGTGGCGAGCTCATGGTCCTGGATTCAGAGAACAGTAACCTTTACAAGATGCAAACTCCACTATCTGAATGTAAGTTTGTTAACCATTTTCTAAGAATTAGTTGCCCAGATTGTGTGTTTGTGACTCCATGTTCGAAAGAATGGATTCATTTTGGGTGCTTAGCTTCAGGGGTTGGAAATGAGATCTGGATTTGGATTCCTTCTCCTTTTATCTTTTCAATTTGTGGGGAAGATTCTATTTTGAGTCAAAAGGAAAGATAAAAGAGAAGTGAAGGAAAGAATAACTAGAACACATGCTTGAAATGTGAGCAAACATATACTTAATGCCTTTTGTCAATTACAAGCCTCAAACTCTTAAAAGTACATGGGACAACATTTTCAGTTCTGTTTACATCACCTAATTCCATCCTTTGCTTTTTCCTTAAGATTTTTAGCACTTCCAATTTGTCTCGAAATCAAGGCTTGATCCTTGGTCTTGGAGGCTTTTGTGTCTTACAAGATTAGCAGTTAATGTTTCTTTTAGAAACCAGAAGGCTGACTTCACTGGTTTTCAGTAAGAAACCTGAAATATGGTTTGGACTTCAAAGCTAAAGTCTAAAATGCTTTCTTTAGCCAACTTATTGAAATAAGATGTTTCCTCTCTGAAAAAATGAGAGTTGAAGTTTTTGCTTCGGTGATTATGTTTGCCAAGTCCTTTCCTCGTAGAATCTGTCATTTTCTTATATGGGGGTGAATTTGAGGCAATGCAGATAGCAGGCCAAAGCTGGTTGCTGGATCTCCTGAAGGATACACAGGGCATGTCGATGGGAAGTTAAGGGAAGCAAAAATGAACCATCCGAAAGGTCTAGCTGCAGATGACAAAGGAAACATATATATTGCAGACACCATGAACATGGCTATCAGGAAGATTAGTGAGGGAGGTACTAAAATGTCTAAAAGAACCCCTCTTGCTGTCTGAGCCTTTGGTTTTCAACAGATTGGAGAAAAAGATAACCATGCCTGGTTTTATCTGTGCAGGTGTTACAACTATTGCAGGAGGCAAAAAGACTCGAGCAGGTGGCCACATTGATGGGCCAAGTGAAGAAGCCAAATTATCTAACGATTTTGATGTGCTTTATGTCGGAAGTAGCTGCTCTCTCTTGGTTGTGGATAGAGGTAACCAGGCAATTAGAGAGATCCAACTCCATGACGAGGATTGCAGCAACTATCAAGATGATAGTACTTTCCACTTGGGTAATCAGAATGATAGTACTTTCCACTTGGGTAATGATAGTACTTTCCATGACTCATTATGTTTCTCCTTCTTTTCAACCACTCAGTGTTTTGTTTGTTACACTCTTGTGTTTACAGGTGTAGCAATGCTCGTCATTGCTGGGTTCTTTGGATATATGTTGGCACTTCTGCAGCGAAAGGTCCAAGCTTTCTTCTCTCCTCGTCATGTAAGCAACAACACGTCTCCAAATTTACTGCTTTAGTATTGTGTTATAAGTTATGCAACAGTACATTGTGCAAATATCCTTTTGCTTGTGTTCCTGTAAACATGACCAGAGTTTCAAGTGCTCTTTAATGCTAGGACCCAAGAGCTTATTACGTGAAGAAAGCTACACCAATGCCACCTCCACCATATCGGAGGCCATCTCAATCTGTGAGACCTCCTCTAATCCCAAGCGAAGACGAACATCATGATAACAATAAACCAGAAGACGAAGGCACGTTCAGTTCACTCGGAAGACTCGTTGGGGGACTAATTCCAGGCTTCAGAAGGAAACCCGTGGTTCATCATTATCAGTTCCATCCGCAGTATCAACAACTACAACAACAACAACTCAAGCAGTTGAACTCATGGCCAATGCAGGAAAGCTACGCGATTCCAGGCGAAGATTCCCCACCACCACCTCTCGAATCCACTTACCTTGCACCCAAGAGACAATATCCATTCACGACCAAGGAGCTGCTTCAGAAGAACCAGCATTACAACAGCGAATGGGATGACACAGATTATGACCGGCATCAACAACAGCAGCAGCAATTGAAGCATCAACACCAACAGCAACAGCAGCAACAAATGAAGCAGCAGCAACAACAGCAGCAGCATCACAGGCAGCACAAATCGAACCCGAAAACGTACTACGAGAAAGGCTGCGAGACGAATGAGATAGTTTTTGGAGCGGTTCAGGAACAGGACGGTCGTCGTGAAGCAGTGGTGATAAAAGCTGTCGACTATGCAGATCCTAGGTACAATCACCATAACATTCGACCAAGGTACAACTATGTTGGTTACTCTCATGCTAATTACCAGTCATGAGACAGCAGCAGTGAGATAATAGAGACAGTCAATCAGCTAAAGACCGTTTTTCCCTCTCCAAAACAGATGTATTCTTATTTCTTAGGCTGATTTTCCTTTTTCATATATTGCTATAAATATGTTCGTTCTTAGCCTACAGGTGCATAAGTTGTTTGTATCTATTCATAAAGAATGCTAGAAAATAGTTGAATTTACAGCTTCGCATGGGCAGGCAACTGATGCTTCGTGCCTTGAAATGTAACATGTTACAGACTATATGATTATATCTACGCGTTAGGATGATTTACACAACTGGCTGGAATAGCTCAGATGGTTAGAGCGTGTGGCTGTTAACCACAAGGTCGGAGGTTCAAGCCCTCCTTCTAGCGAATTTTTACGTTGCTAGAATTTTTACGTTTTTTTATCTTATTTGGACTGGGGAAGCCCACCCGTAATCATGGCCCAATTAAAGCCCACCCCATGACTTGTTAAGAGTTGGAAGTTGAGGGGCTATAGTGTGGTTCACTAAAAGGTTAAGGGGTTACCTCTTTTTTTACTCATTCGTCGTTATCGTTCCTTCTGTTGAAACCAAAATCGGGAACTTTTAGAATGACGAAATGACTAAAATTACGAGAGTTTTCGTTAATGTTGATGGGAAGAATCAGTTGGTTATATATAACCTAACGCCAGTTTTCCGAATCAACCTTTGAATTTCGACCAAACAACCATTCTAGAAGGAGGAGAAGCTTCAAATCACCAACGTTTTGAGATGCGTCGGCCTGGTGGAATCACCGGCAACCGCCATTAATAGACAGCGAAGAAAGAACCCATAAGTAACAGCGATTCGATTTTCCCCGCGTGATTTCCGGTACCCCTACATTCCTTCCCCTCCTCCAAATTCTTATAACATGAATTCCCTTCTCTCAGAGAGAGAGACAGAGAGAGAAGGAAAACAGAGCCTTTCTCTCTCTATCTCTCTGTCTCCGTCTTCTCCCCCAATCCTCCATGCCCGTTCCTCGAAGCTCTTCCTATGATGCATTTTCCGCCGGCTCGGACGACGACATTCACGATGCTGCTTTCGCCAGGCGGCGATGCTGTTTCTGTTTCCCTAATTTTCTGAAAAAAGAGCCAACTCTTGGCGGCGGCGGCGGAGGTGGTGGCGGGGGATCGTCCGGAGCATTCTGGAGACGAATCAAGCCTTTGGATTCGTCTTCACCGGCAGCGCCGTGGTGGTCAAAGAGCTGGAAGAAGGTTCGTGGGTTATCGGAGGGGCCGAGGTGGAAGAATTTGGTGCGGCGGTTTAATGGACGGAAGCGGCAAGGGTACGGGAAATTCAACTATGACGCTACAAGCTACGCCCTTAATTTCGACGAAGGACCCCTGGCCAATGGCGTTGATTACGACGAGGATCTCCTCGGCCGCGGATTCTCGGACAGGTTCTCGCTCCCGCCGTCGGCTAAGTCCTCCATGGATTTCGACAACGACGCGAATCCGTTCAATTTCAGCTGACGGGTTTCGGCCGAGATCATGTAGGCTTGGGAGCGTGAAGGCGGTTTAGGCTGGGTTTGGGAGGGGCTTTGAGAGGAAAAGATTTGGGCTAAAGTGGTAGTAAGCACCTAAGATTTTTTTTTTTTTTTTGCCAAAAGATCACTCGTATTACCGAGAAAGCCAGATATCACAAGTCATACAGCTGAAAACAACCAAGAAACAAAATCGAACCCTCCTAAGTGAGGGAACAACGAAAGGGCTTTTCGTGCCACCAAATGGGCAACCCTGTTACAATCCCTACCCACAAACCGAATATCAAACACCGAAAACGAACCAGTCAAGCTCCGAATTTCTTCCAAAACCGCGCCACCCTGAACATCATCAACTTGACCTTCTCGAATCCTTCTAATCACCACCTGTGCATCACCAGCAAAGACGACCGAATGAAGACCTCGAGCCAAACACCACCGAATCGCGTCCCGAAAAGCTAACAGCTCCACCAGGGAGGGATCAAAAATCCCCACGTACAAGGCCGCTGAAGCCGCCACCACCGCGCCCGACGGATCCTGCAAAACCCAACCTCCAGCCCCGTGCGAACCACGTAGAGTGGCCCCATCAACAAACAACACTAACTCCCCAGGCGGGACCAACTCCCTACCCGCTAGGCGAGGACCCCCAGGACCTGGAAGAGACGGCCTTTGTTGATTATCAGGAACGGAATCCCACTCTGTGACCTGCAAGCGAAACTGAGAAAGCAAAACAGGGACACTGAACTGAGTGAAATCAAATACAACCCAATTCCGCGCACGCCAAACACGCCAAATTGCCTTCCTCGAGAACCCTGCGCCAAAAGATGCTTATATTACTAAGTGGGAACCGATCTCTCAGCAGGTGAAGCTCGGCCCCCTCCCAGAGCTGCAGCGCTACTCGACATCGGAAGAAGAGATGCTCCAGAGACTCCACCTCCACCCCGCAGACTGGACACGGCTCCAGCCCCTCCATCCCGCGAGTACTGAGTGCCTCACCAGTTGGCAAGACACCCCGGACAAGCTGCCAAATAAAATACCGCAGTTTAGGCGGTATCGGAGTGGCCCAAATTCGTTTCCACAGGCTACGGTCCCAGGATAGAGCGACTGCCTTCCCCTGCATCTCCTTCTGACGTCTTAACTCGACCGCCTTATGATACCCTGATTTGACAGTATAACATCCAGAGATTTCCCCCTCCCAGACTAGGCGATCCGGCACAGCCCTAATGGGTAGAGGAATTGCCAAGATAGCTTTAACCGTGTCTTCTTCAAAGATCTGCCGGAGACAATCTACCCTCCAGACACCCTGATTAGGACTTCAACATGGTTGTTTCAGTCTTTATGGTTAAAAAAGATATTTCATTTTATACAATCCCACGAGTTTCATCAAATTGCATTTCATTTCAATGTGATTTTAATTTTTGATTTTTTTGTTTGCTTTCATGGAATTAGAGAGGGAAAGGTAGTTTAGGGAAAACACTATTTAAAAAATGCATGTTTTGGGTTTCTTATTTTTTTCATAGGAAATTGAAGTTAGGAACTTGTTTCTAATTCTACAAATGTAGTGCTTTGGTTTTGGGTTGTCCAGAAGTGCATATATGTAACTTAAGTTCAGATTAAACTTGACTGAAAATGGTTGGTATAGAAAATGGAATTATTTTCTTGGAATTGCTATTAAATGTCGTAAGTGCAAGACTAATCAATTATTTTGTTGAGTTAGTTTGTCATTTTATTTGAGAGCTAGTCTATCCTTTTATTTAAGAGCAAATTTGATGCTAGAAGAAGAAAAGAAGAAGGGAATCACAACCCTCCAAGCTCAAAGAAAATGAAAGGAGACCAATCTTCGTTTTCTCCAACAAATGAGTGAGAATATGAAGAATGATAACTTTCGACCATGCTCTAAATTCAATTGTTAAAAGCTTAATTAATGAAGAGTGTCCCCAAACAATTTGTAGACAAAAAAAAAAAAAAACAAAAAAGGAAAGAAGGCCGTGATCCTAGCAAAATGATAAAAAAGAAGAGTAGAGGCAATAAGAAGTTTGAGTTCGAGCAGATTGATATTCAGTTTGTTAGCTAAACACATAGAGAAAACTAACAAGTAACAAAAAAGGTTTTTAAATACCCTAAACCCAATCAAGGTTAACCTAAAAGACAATGGGTCTAAAATATGGGAATTACAATTCCTATCCATTTCCAATTCCATTTCCATATATTATGTTTGGAATAATAAAAAGGTTGAGAATTGAATTCCAATGGGTCTAAAATATGGGAATTACAATTCCTATCAAAAGTGATAGGAATTGAGAGAATGAAGATGGAATTAGTGGGACCCATCAATACTTTTTATTATTTTGTTGACCCACTATCATTTTACTCTCTTTCTCTCTCATTCATATTTCATTTCCCAAAATAAAACAAACATATTACATTATTCATTATGGTTAAAAGTGCAATTCATTTCCATAGTTGTAGGAATTATACCAAACACTAGAATTGGGAATGGAATTCTATAAAAATAAAAAATTGAATTCCATTTCCATTTCCATTTCTTCCGGAATTGTATCCAAACAGGCTGTTAATTCCCAACCCATTTGTGTCTCTTGATCTCTAGCTAAGGGATGCATATATTCTCATTCTTGACCTATTAGGTTATGGTTAACCTGGATATAGGTATTGTCTTCATACTTATCGGATGTATTTTGATTAATTAAAGTTGTTAGTTATTCTTTTTTATTAAATTAATTTTATATTTAGATCAAAGAACTAGAACACAAGAGTTACTCATTAGAGATCATAATATAACATCAATTTTCCAAATATGATCAATTCAATGATTTACTTAGCATAATTCACTAGACATTTATAGCCTCAACCATATATAATATAACTCCTCAATTGTGCATTTATCATGAATACACGACATGCTTTGATCCTTTATTAATCCAAATAATACACAATTAGTCGGCGGAGACATTGCTTGCTCTATAAACTAATCGAGAAACGAACAAACTAATGGTGCACTCACACATATTAATAACAAACCAACCCAAACCAGCTAACCCCTACACCCAAACCGGTTCTTCCCTAACCCTGACCCACTTTAGTAACCCGGCGACGAAGACGATCTCTCGTCGTCTTCCCTGATCGCATCCACCATGACCGCGACCTGACTCATCGCCGGCCTCTCGTAGGCCGACGGGTTGACGCACTTGATTGCCACCTGCAGCACGTTGACCATCCTCTCCTCGCTCGCGCCTTCCGATATCAGGTGCTTGTCGAAAACCTCGACGGTCCACTCCTCCCGAACCACCGAGTGGACCCACGTCGGCAGGCTGACCCCGTTGTTCTGGACCGTCTTCCCCGTCAGCATCTCCAGCAGGACGACGCCGTACCCGTACACGTCGGATCGGAACGCGTCTGCCGCGTGGGCCGGGTTCTTCTTGGGCTTCGACTTGGACCTCACCTCGCTGAAGCTGAAGCTGTTGCCCTCGGAGGAAGAGTCGTCGACGTCGTTTTGGTTTTCGTCGTGGTCGGTGTCGGCGGGGACGGGAAGCAGGCCGTACTCGCTGATGCAGGCTTCGAGGTTTTGGTTGAGGAGGATGTTGGAGGATTTGAGGTTGCCGTGGCTGATGCCGTCGTCGTAGAGCTTCTTGTGCATGGAGGCTAGGGCTCGTGCCACGGTGGATGCCACGCTCAGCCGGCTTGGCCAGTCGAATGCCTGTCCCATCTTTGTTCCTGCAGAAACCAAGATGGGTGTGTTTGTTTGAGCTCATAAGTAACTAAATAACTAAAAATTAGTGAAATTTAAAATCGCACCCGAGGTTTTACAGAAAAATTTAGTAGTAGTTATTTTGCGGCGAAATAATGATTTATCGTGATTCAACCATTTTATATTGCTAAAAACTGCATATTAGTTAACACTTCGATATGACATTTTCCGATAAGATCGCCAATACAATATGATTTCTCAAACACGACTTCTTAGTAATTTAAACGAGATTTTGTGTCATGATGAGTCGTACAAACTACTAAACAAATGTCATCTTCTTAAAATTGTTTCATTTTTCACTTTATTGATTTGAGAAAGAATATTCTAAAGTGATGCTTGTAGTAGATATTTCTTCATGTTTTATGATTAAATGCTTGTTATCCCCCTATTATTGAGTGTTATTATTCAATATAAAAATTTCAAATCTACTAAAAGTGTAAGTTTTTTATTTTATTTTATTTATTTTTGATAATGATGATTTCATTAAGGAGAAAAAGGGAGGAATACAAGGGTTCACAAGAGCTACTAAAAGTGTAAGTTACACCGTATCAGACAAAAATTAGCATAAATCAATTCATTTCACCATATATTTTCTTTTTCAATCACTAAAATTCTGTTAAAGATGATGAAGAAACAATTAATTGAATTGAAATTTAACTCCAGTAAGATTTTAATATAATTCCAATTATAATTTTTTCTTTATTTTCGATTCAATCGTTTTCTAATTTAGTCTGAATCCAGACCGGACCGAACCATGGAAACCCTCAGCAACTCCAGTAAGTGGTGCAAGAGACACAAACTTAACAATGGTGGAATTTAGAACTTAATTAGAAGAATGGAAGGCCTTACCATGGAGATATCTGAAGAGACTGCCATTCTCCTGGTACCCATAAACCAGCAGCTTCTCATGCTTGGAACTGTAAAACGCCAGAGCAGGCAGCACATTCGGATGGCTCGCCTGGTGTATCCTCTGCATCCTAGTCTTAAACTCCGCCGTCTGAATCGGCCAATCCTTAATCCTCTTCACCACCACCGTCATCCCGCCGCTCAAATTCACCTTATACAAGCTCCCGTGCTTCCCCCTTCCCAGAAGCTCTGCCGGAGCCTTCAGCAACTCCTCGAAATTCAAACCCCCGCCGCCGCCGTGCCCCGATAAAGGACTCGTCAGCAGTACAAGCGAAGAAGAAGTCATCGCACTTTCTTCCGTTACCCCCGAAATTTCCGAGAAGCTCTCCCCTGTTTTCGCGTAGCTAACAGAACTCGCCTTGCTCATGAAGCTATCGTCGTCCACTGAAGCCACTCTGGCTTCCAAGTCACCCTTCGTTTTAGTACTACCTCCGGCGTTGCTCTTTCTTCTGCAGAGTTTGAAAACGATGAAACCGATAACTCCTAGCCCGATGATGGTGTAGCCAGAGTACATCAGAATCTGATCCCTCGCTCGGGCTTTCGACTTCTTGCTGTCCTTGTCATTCGAAGTTTCGTTTTGGGCGTTCATGACGGTTGAAGAAGAAGATGATGATGAGCAAGGGTTTGGTGAAGGTGGCCCGCAGAGGTCAGGGTTGTCAGAAAAGCTGCCCTGGTCGAATTTACCATGGAGGTCAGGAATCTCGCCGGTGAATTTGTTGTGGGAGAGGTCGAGTTTCTGCAATTTGAGAAAGTCGAATCTCGGGACTGGCCCCGTGAAGTGATTCCCCTGCGCGGTGAACATCACGAGCTCAGGAAGGCCGGTGAAGTCCGGCAGCTCGCCCGAGAAATCATTGTGGGAGAGGTCGAGCTTCTTGAGACTCTTGATGCCGGTGATGGATTCCGGAATGTTTCCGGAGAATTTGTTCTTCCCTATGAGCAAGTGAGTCAGATTGGTGCAGTTTGAGATCGCCGGTGAGAGCTCGCCGGAGATTTGGTTCCTTTGGAGGTTGATGACGGTGAGAGATGAAGCCAATAATGGGTTCACGCACACGGAAGCAGGATCGAATTCTCCTGACAGGCTGAATCCTGAAAGTTGGATTCTTGTGACAGAGCTGTTCGCAGCGTCGCAGGAGATCCCCGGCCAGGAATTCAGGCAAGGATCGGTTGTAGGAACCCAACTGGGTTTGGTTCCGTTCAGATGGGCGAGGAAGGTGATGAGGGAGTTCTTGAGTCCATCCTCCACACCTGCGGAATCAGCCGGGCGGTGGAGGACGGAGAGGAGGAGGGAAATGACAAGTGCCCACCAGATGGGTACTTGACTCATAGTTCTGCAGACAACCTGAGATTTTTTTTCCTGTGATTTCCAGAACCGGTAAAGTTCCTCAATATAGCTTTGAGGGGGATGCTCTGTTTCAAGGGAATGATTCGAAGGGGAAGGCAGAGTGAGGGCAATTCCAATGTCAGCTGCTGAGTGCTGAGAGCCGGTGGAAGAGACCAAGACACTCGGGTAAGGACAGGGAAGAAACAAGGAGCCGGCTGAAAGTTAGCGACTGGCCAAGTCGTTATACATGAGTCAGAGTTTGATTGTAACAGGCTAACAGCTGAGTTTTATTGTGTCAAGACAGCTACAACTTTGGTTTCTTTGTTTATGTTTCTTTAATCTCTGTGTGATATTGAAATGTGGGGGGTAGCAACATTCCGAATAACTAAGCTTTCACCATCGCCGGAGCAATTATTTTACAGAGGCTGCCAATTGTCCGGGTAATCATTCAAACGGTAGCTTTCTGTGTTGGGAAAGAACAGTGTGTCTGTGTGTGGAAGTGAAATGGTACAGGGTAAAAAACAAATAGGCATCCACAGAGTGTCTGGCAGCTCCCTGTGGCAGCATCATCTACAACATTACAATCAGATTGAGATGGTTAATGGACGGGTTAACCATCTAATCATCTCTATCTACTCGAGATTCATATGAGAAGTTTATTAGGTGATTCCTAAAGAATCCAGTTAGTCATTTGATAAGTTACTAATCTGTAGAATGATTGCTGCGTTATACTGTCATCATTCATCTAACCTATATGTACTATACAATTTCGTGAGTGTGATTCATCTCCTCTACGACCCATGGGTGGATGAATTTGAGACTAAAACGCTTTTCATAAGTGTGATTCATCTCCTCCAATCCATAACCCATTTAACAATGGGTGGAAGAATTTGAGGGTAAAAACCACCCAACCCCATCATCTCTGGTTCTACAACCAGGAGTCGCAACTAGGCTAAACCATGTCCAATATTTGGACAGAATGGAACTTGCACGATGCATGATTTTATATCGTTCAGCTTGGATCATCAAATTTAAGAAGTTATCGCCAGAGTCAGATAATCGAATCGAGAACTGACGGGATAAGAATGAAAACAAACGCCTTTATTGGGGTTATTTCTGGTCCTAACATCTCTTCATTATCGATTCGGATTCTAAACCAAACAAGACCATACTTACCCTAACTAAGTTCACAAGCTACAAATGTCATTCCAGTTGTATTAACCCGATGCTCTATAACCTTGCATTGAATGAGTAACATATGGAGCCTGCACCATGTCCTGCCTACCCAACGATAACAGGAGGACAGTTATTGTGATGGCGATGTACCAGAACTCCAAGTGGATATCTGATTCTGAAAGGTTGTTCCTTCCCTAGCATTTTGTTTCTGTAAAATCGGATAACGCGGAAAAGAGAGAACACGAGAATGGTACTCATAATTAAACAGGGTAACTATTTACATCCCAACAGTTTCATGTCATTTAGTGATTCTAGCCACAAATGGATCGGTTCAAGCTTAACTTTGCAGGGCAGTAAATAACAACCTATCTGGAAAGGCCTCAAGGGCATGCTATTAATCAATGCACCAAAGCATACAAGTTTCCCCCATAATTTTGGATTCTAGACCACAGTACAGAAACATAAGTTTTCCTCATTTATTGTGATTTTTGTTGTCCTTCTTAATTCCCAGTACATCACTGTGCCTGGTAAATTATCAGATTCCCATGAAACACAATGGTAACCCTGATGTTACACTCTTCTCCTTCAATCCTTCAACCAATCTACATGCAATTTCGAATGAATAATTGAGTATTCGGGTATAAAGAAGATACTAACGTGATATGATCACTGGGAAGAATATGCAATAGATTTGCTACATCGATTCAGGGATCAGCATCACCAGCAACATTGTCTTCACTAAATGTGCTGTGCCTGTCACTATCTTCATCCTCGCTTATCTCTTCATCGTCACTCTCCTCGTTTGGAGCTTTAATGGTGTTCGACTTCTTTGCATATCGTTCACAGTACTCTGTCATCCCAGTAAACAAAGCAGCATTAAGTTTTTAGGATCATGAATTCTCTAGACAGATCGAAAGTACGGTAAATTGGTTATAATCGGATCTTTGTTTTCTTAATGCAGTTGATTGTCATCAAGTAAAAGGCAAGGGGGAAAAAAAACTATCAAACAGTTCTTACCTTTTACCCTTTCTTCATACTGCTTTTTATCATTCATCATAAGTGCAGCTGCGTCAGCATTTAGTGGGTCCCCAGGGTTTGGGTAGAGCAGTAGCTGTGGAAGAAAAACCTCAAACACATTCAAAAGATCTGCAGACAGAAGAAGCCACAGAGGGTCAATCTCGAAGCTAGAGGGCAAAGTTAACAACAGTTAATTGTTCCTAGCTTGTTCTTCTAGTTAACTTTTTTTACAATGAAAGAAGACATAAGAATTTAACTAAGCCAAGGAGTTACATTACATAAAAGCCCTTTTCCTTTTCTTTTTTCCCTGTTTGAGAATCAAAGTGTATTTCGAATAATTGAAGAATAACGTCAAAATCTGTCCTGATAACTGATATTAACTAAAAACACATTGATAACCTGCATGAGTCAATGTCGCTGCAGCACATTGTTCAATCAAAACCAGTCAAACGAAGCTCCTAAATCTTATCAGAGAAGACAAAGCTCAAGTTAAAGAAAATATTCTTACAGGATGGCCAGGTTAGATTCAACACTCTTTTCCAGCTTTATGCTAATACATATATGGCGCTAATAAGAAAAGGAGGGAAGTTCAAGATGGATTTGTCACTTAGTTTTTGGATACTAGTACTGTGAGATTTCACAAACTATGTGGCAAGTAATGTGCTTCTATATGAGTGTGCAAGGGAAAGGTCCAACTACCAAACATTGGACTCCATGATTGGTTGATGACATCCAAGCAAACAGAACCTGACCTGTGAAATACAGGAGAACAACCTTAGATCAGGCTTTAAGTAACTTGGTATAAAGCAAATTAATAAAAAAAAAAAAAAATTCCTGCATAATCTTCTACAGACCTATGCAAAGCACTTGCGTCTATCTCTTATAATCTTTCCTGATGAATTTTCCCCCATATTTGTTAAATTAAGGCATGTTAAAATCAGTACTCGGAATTCTTTAATAGGCTACAATAGTAGTTAAATTTTAACAAGAAAAAGGATAACAGGGTCAAAACCGGAATTCTAATAAGTCATTTCATTACCCACCAGTCAAATGCGAGTACCTACACATCTACTGTAATATTGGTTTTGAACAAGTAATTAACAAAATTATCTACATGAGCTATCTGATGAACATTGAGAGGCTACCATCAAATCTGGCAGGAACTATGATGAAAGGCTTACATCTCATCAACATTGGGGTGGTATATTTTATTGAGGAACCCGATAGAAGGAGATTTGTATGGATATGCATCTGGTAACTCCACTCGAACTTTCCAAACACCACCTTCATAAAGGCCTGAAAAATGAAGCCAGACTGCAGTGAGAAAAAAAGCAATATGACAGTGGTTAAAGCATGATCAATATAAGGACAGGCATGGGCAAAGGAAACCAAGAACAAACAAGATTAGATGTCAGGGTCACTGTGGCATTAGAGGTCTCAATCGTAGGTGCATAAATGAACATCAAATTTTGTGGTTTAGATCTTATAGCATGCTTGCCTGAGGAAGTGGTGGGTTTGTTTCTGAAAAGAAACACCAAGATGCAATGTCCATATAAACATTAGCATATTGAAGAAAACATTACTTTCTTTTGGGCCATGGAACTCCACGTTGAATTCATTAATCCCATCATTGATTGTTTCCACCGTGTAGTCACTCATCATCCTACAATGCACAACCAACATTAGGACGGTGGAATAACAAGAACAGTCAGGCAGCAATTGAGTAGATAACAGATCCTTTAAACCTCAGAAATCCAAAAGAAAAGAGAAAACAAAGACCATAAAGTTCACAAAAAAATAACTGGGTTATTCAATGAAAAAACTTGGAAATTACAACATATCTATTTTACATTGTTGGTATTGACTGTTAACTATATTCGCATCAAAACGTTCATCACCGATGTCGACATTTGAAGGTAGATAACAACTAAAAGGCACGAGCAGAAATGATGATGAGACTCCAAATACTAAGCACGTACAGTTTCATGACATCCATGTCTCTTCTTTTGCTTGGAGAAGACATTTCCCCCCTTCAAAGAATCTTCTTCACTTCGGAACCTAGCACGAGGAAGAATAACAATCAGGGCTTGACAGATTCATGGTCATGTGTGTATGGACTCCAACGGTTGAAGGTTTCCCGAGCTCCTTTTCCTACCATCCCACATTATCTAAGTGTGTGCAATTTTGCCATTCAATTTTCATACGGATCAGTTCCATGTGAAATCGGAAATAATTGGAGATGAACTTTAAATGGTCAACCATCACTAGACCTGCAGAACCCATAAAACCAGCCTTCTGCCAACTAAAACCATGCAATCGCATTTGATCAAGAGAAAACAACCATCTATATCATGAGTAGAGCGAGCCAGTACTGAACTAGGTCTACATAGCAGCATATTGTGAACCAGTTTGATCTCACAAATGCAATTAACAGCTTCTGCCCTACTGTGGAATGGGGAGAGGTCGAATCAAACATCAAGTTACTAGGCATAACCATAACAGCAATAAAATCCTTCCAGCTCAGGAAGGACAAGGAGCAAGAAAAAGACCAGTGCGTTAGGCTACTTAAAAGAAGGATAAGCAATTTCGCACTTCATAGAGAAACTGAATTTGGGAACAAGCTTGATCCCAAATGCAAGCAAGGGCAGGGAAGGGAAGAACTCAGACAAGTAGTTGGTTAGAAAATGAGCCCGGCCACCAACAAAACAACTATAAATGGGAGTACTTCTCACAAACACGACCAAGGAACAAGAAAAAAGCCAGCCATCCCGATCACAAAAAGGACATGCACTCGACTTCAACATGCAATGCAGATCCTGCAACAACTAATTACCATCCCAATTCGACTCCTCCAGTTCTTTCCAAATTTCCACAGCTCGGGTTATGATCCTAACAACTTCTGATGAATTTCTCTACCCAATCAAATTCTATAAAGCAATGAACTAACCAGCAATTGAGAAATGTAATTGTAAAGATCAATCAACGGCCCGGAAAGAAGAAGATCCTGAGACTAACCGAATACGAGAACCGTAATCACTTGGAGCGCAAAAAGTTTTGATCTTGTGATGGACGCCGAGTAGTACAATCCGTTTCTAGCGAAGCGGCCACAAGAGGAAACGGCGAAGCAAGAGGAAAGAAGGCAGATTTGGAGTGGAGAGGAGAGAATCGGCGAAGGAGAGAGCGAGGCGACAATGGAGGAGGAGGAGGAGATTCATCAAGATTCCTACCGTCGCTCGTGTGGGTAATGGGTTTGGTCCCTGGCACGTGCCGGTTTCTTCTGCTTGCTTTTCTCAAAGCTTTTCTTGCAAGGTGGATTAATGGCGAATGAAAATGTGGCGGTGGCGGGTGCGCCGGTTTCAGTTGCCACCTCTTCAATTCTCACCAGAACCAAATTACCCCAACGACACCGTATCGCCGAAAGGAAGATCTGATATGACGTCGTTTTATAGTTTCTCTCTTTTTCTGATTCTTTCTTTGGCGGCAAAGTCAATCGTCTCCAACTAACTGAAATTCCGTCACTCGTCGCTGAGCGCAATTCTGTTAGGGAGAAGAAGATACGAATCGGAAGAAAGGTTGAGTGGTGATTGCGGCAGCATGGGAGTCCAGGGACTGTGGGACCTTCTCGCTCCCGTCGGCCGTCGCGTGTCCGTCGAGACGCTTTCCGGGAAGAGGCTCGCAATTGGTACGCTGTAGAAAACCCTAATAAGCTTGATGCTCTGGTTGCACAAATGAGTAAATGACCGTCGTTTGATTGTCTGGTTGATTAATTACATTGTTGTTGGATCATGTACGTGAGGGCAGACGCGAGCATTTGGCTGGTCCAGTTCATGAAGGCCATGAGGGACGAGAAGGGGGACATGGTGCGTAATGCACATTTGCTAGGGTTCTTTCGTAGAATTTGCAAGCTGTTGTATCTCAGGACCAAGCCTGTGTTCGTCTTCGATGGAGGCACGCCTGCTCTGAAGCGGCGCACGGTTATTGCAAGGCGGAGGCAGCGAGAGAACGCGCAGGCTAAGATTCGGAAAACCGCCGAGAAATTACTCCTCAATCAAGTTAATTCTTCTCTGCCAAAATTTGAACCAATCACTGCGACTTGTTATGTAGTGTGGTTCTGTTCTCTGAGTGGTTTTATGATGCACGAGTGTTTTTGAGTTACTCATTTGTTTGGGTTTGAGCTTTGAGCAGCTGAAGACGGTGAGGCTGAAAGAGTTGGCAAAGGATCTTGAAAACCAGAGGAAGAATCAGAATAATGACTCCAAGGGCAAGAAGGTTTCATCAGAACCCGCAGCAAGCAGTTTGGAGAATAGAGATGCAACATTTGATCATGCCAATCAAGAGAAATTGGATGAGATGTGAGATATTTTTGTTTTGCTCCTTTCCAGACACCGGTCTCGATTTGTTTTCAGCAGTTCATTAATGATTCTTTCTATTTAGGTTGGCTGCGTCTATAGCAGCGGAGGAAAATGTGGGTGTAGAAAATGCATCAACATTTGCTGGTCCGGAAAGGCAGGATGATGAAGATGAGGACCTGATACTGGTACTTTGTTTTTCACGCTTTCTATATCTTATAACCTTCATGATCTATTACAACTGTGTTGAAGTCATCTTCACTGGTTTGCTTTGGTGGAAATTCTAACTTGAGAACAGGGGTTTTACTGCTTAAAGATCATGTAAACTCAAATTAGTTCTAATTTGCTTAAAGTCAATTTAGCCTTGACATTGTGAAATTTCAGTTTGCATTGTCAAGGGATCTCGATCTGTGTTGATATGTTGATGGTCTTTATTGACTTCTTTGCAGCCTGAGATAGATGGTGACCTGGATCCGGATGTATTGGCTGCTTTGCCGTCATCAATTCGGCGTAAAGTTCTTGTAAGTTCTGTTATTGAGGTTAGTTTTAGGTGGATTACCATTGTTTGATTAAGTAAATGCTGGCTTTTCTGTGCAGATGAAGAAAGGGTCAATGGTGGAAGGCAAACAATTTCATGATGAAACACAGGTAATTCAAATTTGCTTAAACAGTGCAATGCAATGCAGTGCAGCAAAGAATTGATAATTGGGTCATTGACTAGAAACTAGTCAAGCTCCTGGTTGTTGGAGTCCAGAATTTTTTCTTGAATGTTTGTGTTGTAGAAAAGAATTGTGTAAGACTTATCAACGACTTTCGTGTCATTCAATATAATGATTCCTGATTTCTCTTTGTTTGAAGATTTGAAATTGATTTTAGAATTTTTTTTTATTTTCAGATTCTCAAACAATTTTTAGATATATCCATTTTTTTAATTAATTTTGATTTATTTGGTTGTGTCTTTAACTTCAACATCAGACTGTTTTAAGTAGTAAACTTCATTAGATCAACTGTTTCACAATAATCGATAGTCGATACTTTTATTTGGTTCTAAAAACTTATGGAAGAGTTATTTTGATGCCAAGTAACATTGTTGTTTGAGAAAATAATGGAACACTACCTCTTATTATTGGTAAGAAATGGACGGACACTTATCTATAAGGTAAGCAAACCGTCTATGTCAGTATCAAAACTTGCAAGCTGTTCACTATGCAGGTACATCATGCATTCTGGCTAATGTGGCATTATTGTTAAACTAATTCTTGCTTGTATGTGCTATAAAACTCTGCTTAAGTTACTTATGTAAGAGAAAAACTCAGCTTTTAGTTGTCTGTTGATTGATAGTAATTTTGCTTAGGTGCCTTTCCTGTGTAACAATTTCAGAAATTTATTTCTCTTCCTTCATGTTTTCACTTGCATTGCAATTGGAACCAGATTGAAAACAGCAAGAAGAATGAGAAGGGAAAGGAGGTATTGTCAGACCCAGCCGAAGTAGAGGAGAACAATTTTGAAAGGCTTGACAAAGGGATGGAAGGTTTCAACCAAGAAAAGCTAGATGAGATGTAGGTTATTAAGGGATTTTTAGTTTGCTCTATGATTCCAAGTTCCTGAATTTGAAGTTAATACGTCTAAGGCTTTAGGTTGGCTGCATCTCTTTTAGCTGAAGAAGATGGTAGTCATAAGTATGCTTCAACATCTGCTGCCTCTGCTCCCTTTGAGGGTGGTGATGATGATGATGAAGAGATGATTCTTGTAAGTTGGCAAATGCATGTTAATGGTTTTCAATCTGGACTTGTCATGGATTGATTTGCTCTATTTTTGTTTGATGTTTTTTTTTAAAAGATTCAACGAGTTAAAATCATGGTTTGATGTAGATCATAGAATTCTTATCCAAGAGTATTTTTGAGTTTTTAAGCAATACGTGCAATGGGAACCGTCCTCTATGTTTACGTCTCCATTATTGCTCAGGCTTGATCATTTACTTTTGTTGCTGTAACCTACTTTCAGCCAACAGTCCCAGGGAAATTTGATCCTGCTGTCTTAGCAGCTCTACCACCATCAATGCAACTGGATCTTCTTGTGCAGGTAGGTCTTTTTTATGGATGAAATAGTGACCGGTCTTCATTTAAATGGTCTTTCTCATCTGCTTCACAATTTTTCAGTAGTTATATTGTTTCTGTAGATGAGAGAGAGGTTGATGGCTGAAAACAGACAACGATATCAAAAAGTCAAGAAGGTTAGTTCTTGAGTGCAATGGTCACTATGTGTGAGGACAGGGACTGCATGTTTCTGTGATATCTAGTAAATTTTTTTCTCATTTCATTGCTGTTTTTGCTTCCTTGTCCTTAAATCCAGACTTTCCAACTTTAGTCTCGCCAGTACATAATATTTAGTTTTTTCTCTGGCAGGCACCTGAAAAGTTCTCCGAGCTCCAAATACAAGCTTATCTCAAAACTGTTGCATTCCGTCGAGAAATAGATCAAGTGCAGAAAGCTGCTGCAGGGGTAAATGTAGGTGGTGTTCAGACTTCAAGGATAGCCTCTGAAGCCAACAGAGAGTTTATCTTTTCATCGTCATTTACTGGAGATAAGCAGTGAGTCTCATTTAGTCATTTTTTCATACTTTCATAAGCTTGTTTGTTTTTATGAGAATACTGTCAGGAGTTCATTGACGTGCAAAGTACAACTTTGTATGAACCTTAGTTATTGTTTCCAAATGGTGGTGTGGCCAGTTGTTATATATAGATAACTAGGTTTGTATCTGGAAGATAAGTGAGGGGAAAGAGAGATGGACTATCTTCAGTGATTGAAGAACAATCTACAGATTTCCTTATAGTTCTGAAAATCTCTAAGAAAGGATGCTTAAATAAATTATGCAAATCAAGATGGAGGCATTAAACTGTTTACAGTTTTCACTACAAAAAGAAAACATGATCTAACAAATTGATAAACACAAAGTTCCAGATGATCTGAGGTTTTTCCAAATTAGAGTACTCTAAGTACTACTAGTTTTAAGCCCGCCCCTTGGGCGGGTGAGTTTCATTTTCTTTAGCAATAATCAATTTTAATATGACATTTCAATTATTTTTATTGTTGTTATTGTAGAAATTTTGTAAATGTGTTATTCAAAATTGTGCGAAGATTAGTGTATTCTATATTCGTATGTTTTCTCGTGTAACTTATAGTTTTGAATTATTCTTTTCATAAGTAGCATCAAAATTGTTTTAAAAAATTCCACTTTCACATTATTAGTAAACGCATCATCATACTCACTCACATGATGATAGTTGACATGTTTATGTGTTATAAGTTATAACCCAAAACTTTTGCTAGATGGTAAAAAATGATTAGGTTATACAGTTTAAACCATGAATTTAAGCTTTATATGAAATATCCTCCTGTTTGGGAAATTAAAGTTAAAACTTGATTTATTTTTCTATATGTATAAATTCTCATATGAACAACCACTAACATTTGAAATAAAATGCCTTTGGAATTTGGTTCAAAATATTCATAAAAATGGGGAAATGCCAATTTAGTTGTATTAGATACATTAACATCAAAATAATAACAATGTTTATCCTCACCGCTCCCACATGTCACAGGTGACAGGCCCATCCCTCTATTTCGGTTCTCCTTAAATCTGGTTAAGACTTAAAATTGTAAAAGGAAAGGAAAAAGTAAATGGGGGAATCGTTTTTTTTTTAACCAAGCGTTGCTATGTTTCGGGGTTTTGGAAAATAGAAACGGAAAATTTTGTCTTTTAGTGATGCTGACATGGACACATAATTTTAGCTCAAGGCTGATGTGGCAAGGGTCTAAATCTTAAACCCTTTTAATATTTTTATAGATAGATAGATAGATAAGAGGTGGAAAATTGTTTGTTGTTTTCGCATGCAACATGATGCTTCTCTTGGACATGTACTGTTTTCTTTAAAAGAAAACTTGGCCATGTACTAGATGGTCCAATAATGTGTTCTTTATGACAATAAATCATTTGTTATTGTTACTTAGTTGGAAACTTTATGTTGATTGTTTACCCTGATTATGTGAGGTTATTTACATCTGGTGGAGTGCTGAGCAGTGGGGATAAGCAACAACCGCCAACAAGTGGGCATCCATCACATTCTGTTATGGGTGGTGCTTCTGCCAGTAACCCAACTACAATGGCAGGAATTGGCCTTGAAGAATCTGGACATGTTTTTGATGATGATGTTGAGACTTATACAGATGAAAGGGGCCGTATTCGATTAAGTAGAGGACGCGCCATGGGGATGCGGATGACCCGGGATTTACAGCGGAATTTAGATATAATGAAGGAGATGGAACAGGTTGAAATTGATATTGCAAGCATTCCCTCTAAGACCAAAGGGGGAAAAGCTAATTCTGGAGGAGGAATTCCTAGTGCAAGAACAGAAGTCAGAGGTTCAGATGATAACAGTGTTGGATCTACACAGTTGAACGAGAGAAATGAACACCATTTGATAGATAACAATAGTTGTATGCAGATTTCATTTGAAATTGATGGTGCAAGCAAGTCTTATGAAAGAGATGATGACATGTTCTCCTGTTTAGTTGCTGGACAACCAATTGACATCTGTTCTGTTGACAATGATACATCCCGGAAACAGGCTCTTGATTCAGCTTCTGATAGTGATTGGGAGGAAGGAACCATTACGACAAAATGGGACGGTTCTTCCACTGCAGAGTTGGTAAATAAGACAGTCCTAAAGGCAAGCAACAATAGTGATGACAGTGAAGTGGAATGGGAAGAAGAACCATCTGTGGTAAAAAATAAGCTTTCGTGCCAGGTTCCATCTGGGAAACCTGTTTCAAGAGGCAAGTTGCAAGAAGATGCTGATTTGCAGGAAGCCATAAGGAGAAGTCTCAAGGATCCAAGAAGTGATCAAGGATTTGCAGAAATCGGTGACGAACTTGAAGTTATTAATCGAAGAGGCAGCATGCAAGAGTTGAATATGGTTAGGAAGGATATTCAGGAAAGTAATATAAACATTGGAACTATGGAAGCAAATGAACCATGTGGTCCAAGTACAGCTAATGCGTCCCACGAGGGCTCTCGAAGCACAAAGTCTGGAATGCATGGTCTTGATGATATCAGTAAGACAGGTCTAGAGCTCACAGGTTCTAAGTTTGAAGAATGTCGATGGGATACAAGCAAAGAGCTCAAGGTAAATGGAGAAGCACCATGGCCAAATCCAGAGCAATCTGTAGATGCTATTACTGAGGCTGGTGGGTTATCTATCTCAACAACTAGTTTATGTCCAGCTGAGGATTCTCATATTTTTAAACCAGTCATTGGTGATAGTATGATGAGTGTTGGTATGGATAATGTTCAAACAGAAGCTTCCATGTTTGTCAGGGAGGATAAAGTTGCTCCTGAAACGGAAGCATCATTTTATTCAGTCAAGGAAACTATAGCAAATTCTTCTGGATCATACATACAGTCTCTTAGAGGAGATTCAACAGCACCCGATGACATTGAGGAACAAATGGTTGGTGAGAAGATCCCCGGCACACTATTTGCCTCAAAGAACAGTGAGAATCATGCTGCTGCTGATACGAATCATGAGAAAGTTTTTTCACAGGCTACCGTAGAGGAGGAGATAAATATACTGGGTCAAGAATTTATGAATCTGGAAGGTGAACAGAGAAAGCATGAACGCAATGCTGAATCAGTCACCAGTGAAATGTTCGCGGAGTGTCAGGTACATGCCAGTCAGCTTATTTGCTTTGCAGGCTTACGTGGATGGTTTGATTTCCCTTGCTCAGCCAGTCCTATGGTTCCCAGCTTGTTATAAATACTAAGCACCGTAGTTGGCTTGTATAATGCTAATTGGAAGTGATTGTACAATGCTAGTTGTTATGAAATCCTAGTTCTCCTTTGCTGCATAGAGAGCATAATTCTGTTTTGTGCATCTATTGTATCGCAGGAGCTTCTTCAAATGTTTGGCATACCATATATAATAGCACCAATGGAGGCAGAAGCTCAATGTGCATACATGGAACTCGCAGGCCTTGTTGATGGTGTTGTAACTGATGACTCTGACGTTTTTTTATTTGGAGCTTGTAGTGTGTACAAGAATATATTTGACGACCGCAAATATGTGGAGACATACTTCTTGAAGGTAAGAAAATCTACCGCATCCTTTACTCTCATTCTTCCCTGAATGCTATATAGGGATACAATTTTCCAGATTTCTGGCATTGCATATGGTTTCTTATCTCTTCTCGTCACTATCCTTGAGTGTAATCCTCCTCTAAGGTTACTTTTACTTTCATTGTGCTTTTGTCAGGATATTGAGAAGGAACTTGGCCTGACTAGAGATAAACTAATTCGTATTGCATTGCTTCTCGGTAGCGACTATACTGAAGGAGTTAGGTAATATACAACTTCTGTTATTTGCTCTATCAGTTATTAAGTCTGTTATGGTGCTGCCATCATCAAGTATACTTGTATTCGTCCAAGCAATGTGCTTGGGCTACCTATATTACTGCTTCAGTCTTATTATATGGACTGACTACATTTACTAATTTGCATGCTGTTTTGCATCTTATTGGGCCATATTTCTATGCAGTGGGATCGGTATTGTTAATGCTATTGAGGTAGTTGATGCTTTCCCTGAGGAGGATGGCCTGCAGAAATTTAGAGAGTGGATAGAATCACCAGATCCAACCATCCTTGGGAAGTTGGATGGAAAGCCTCGCTCAAGTGGGAAGAAACAAGGATCCAAAGTTGCTGACAGTAAATTGGATCCATCTGACAAGGACACTGCACCAATGGATGGTATTGACGAGATAAAACAGATTTTTATGGACAAACATGTAAGTAACCCATATTTTTGTTTATAACTGCCAAACAGCCACACCTCTTCATGCGTGGTAATTTAGTTTAATTTTTGTAGAGAAATGTTAGCAAGAACTGGTATATCCCTTCCTCTTTTCCAAGCGAAGCAGTCATTTCTGCATATTGGTCACCCCAAGTTGATAAATCAACAGAGCCTTTCACATGGGGCAAGCCAGATCTACACCTTCTTCAACGGTAAGCTCTTAGAGATTATGTTTTTTATTTTATTTTATATAATGGTGATAATGCATTAAAAATAAGTAGAAAAAGAGTTACAAAAGGAATTCACTAGACTTGAACACCCAAGAAAGACCTACCAGAAGAATAAAATACAACAGAGAAAGAAGAAGGAAGAATAGAAAAATACTTCAAAGCTTTCAGGGATTATAAATTCTCTTCAAGTGTGCATGTCAAATTTGCATTTAATCACTGTAACAATGAAGTTCCTTGCTGCTGTAGCCTTTTGCGTCTATTCTATGATTCTACTCACTTGTTCGTTCGTGGTATGCGGTTCCTTATAATAAATCCCTTTTCTTGGCATGAAAAATATATTAATACCTTTCTTATTTATCCATGATTGAGAATTTTGCCTTCAGATTATGCTGGGAAAGATTTGGGTGGAATGTCCAGAAGTCGCAGGAGTTGCTTCTGCCTGTCCTGAAAGAGTACAACAAACGCGAGGTCAGTTGGTTTCTCAAGTGGGCAGCTTATGCAATTAATTTATGTCTCTTGGTTGATGGACATTATTATGTGCAGGACGAGGTTGTAGCTTTTTTTGGGCAATCTTTATTTCGTTATATGGTTTACAATCTCTTTCTTCATGTAAATAGTGTACCAGTCAGTTACGTTATTTACTGTTGGTGATCTCTGTTCTGGATTGGTTATGTAGACTCAACTGCGGTTGGAAGCATTTTACACTTTCAACGAGAGATTTGCTAAGATTCGTAGCAAGAGGATCAAGAAAGCTGTAAAAGGAATTACTGGAAAACCAAGTTCAACCGTATTGGATGATGTCCCCGAAGAAGCTCCTGAATTGACTAAGAAAAGAAGAGCGACTCCTGCTGAGTCTGAACTGAAGTCAGTAGAAGGATCTATTCTTAGCAGTGACCACAATCTCTCCGGAAATTCAACAACCAAGAGATCTAAGAAAGTGAGAAGCACTGGGAAGGATATCTCATCTGAAAAGGAGGAATCAGGGCAAGAGTTGTTGTCAGGAAACAGACAGCAGACTACAAAAGGTTCGAATAAGGGAGGGAGAGGTAGGGGTAGTGTTGGACGAAAAGGGAAAGGAATAGGAAGTGGGAGGGGAAGGGGAAGGGGAAGGGGAAGGAGATCTCGAGGTTTGGAACCATCTAAACAGAGTTCTGGGGACACTGAGAGCAGCAGTGATGAGCATGAGGATCAGATTCAGAACTCAGAGACGCCAACTGAAGTGCGACGGGTAATGACTTGGTTTGATATTTGTCATCTTTATCGCAGCAACATATCCTCTTTGCTCAAGTTGTTCTACAGTCATGATTTTATCTTTGTTTCTCTCTCACGTCTAATTAGATACATCTTCCGGATATTGTCTTTTTACTCCACGTCTACAGTCAAAACGGTTGAGACAGCCTGTTAGTTATGCATCCGACCTGGAAATGGACGACATGATCAACTCAGTAGACCCAGATGGTAAAGAAGAAGCTGCAGGAGAAGCTAAAGCCCATCCACGAAATGCTGACTCGAGTCCTGCTCTTAGAGAACCGCAAAATCTGGAGGACGATTTATTAGCGCAGATGGATACAACACCTAGGGAGTATCTCGAAACAGGAGGTGGTTTCTGCATGGATGAAGGTGAAGCTGGTAACCCCGAGGATGGCGTTAGCGTTAATCCTTCTGAAAGCAACTCGTCGAAAGATTACTTAGAGAGTGGAGGTGGGTTTTGTGTGAATGAAAGTGATGCACACAAAGACCAACCTGATGTCGGCAGCCTGTCTCCACCCCTCGAGGGAGATACCACCGAGAAGCCTCGTCATGGTGGTTTGATGGATGAAGTCGATTTTGCTGCATTTTCATCATTGGATGCTGTGAACGAAAGTGCGGTTGTTAAGGATCCATGCACCGAGACATTGAGAACTACACAAACTGATGATCATCTGAGGTCCGGCAGCTCCTCTGCCCCAGAAAACACTGTAGATGATACCATGGCTCCTGAAGCAGGAGGTCTAAGGGCAATGCCTTTCTTGAAAAGAAAACGAAGGAAGAGCTGAAAAGCAAGTGTATGGTTGCTGGTGTGTACGTCGTCGTAGTAGTATATAAAGTCATAGTTATTCCGTAAATGCTCTGTGTATGGTATGGTATGTTTCTCGTCATGCTCTGTTTTTCGCCATTTTTTAAACTTCTGATTCGATCAGGATTCGAAGGCCAATTTTTTGGCAAGTTTGTTCCATGCTGGAGCCTGGACGTTATATTCCGAGCCTTTGGCTGGGTTATGGGCTTCTAATTTTTATAATCCTAATTGGGCCAAACGTTCTGTCAGATTTGGGCTCGAATTATTTGGTAAGGGCCCAACGAGCCGGATGTTCGCAATTTTTGTGCAAGTTCCTTCATCTCCGATAGGATATTCAATTTAATTTCCTTCGTTCTTCTTCAGCTGCAGGTCTTGGCGATTCCCTCCAAGTCTCCATTCCTCCTCCTCCCGGCTCGTTCCATCATAATCTACTCAAGAGTCGCAGGTAAATTCATGGTGGCTTGTCTATCTAACTCTGTAGAGTTCCTACAGGACCTGAAGAGCCATAAATGCGCTCTTGCAGGACCTTATAGTTCACAAATCTTCTTTGTTGTGGCTATGCTCTGTACTGTAACTGCATCCTTAGCTCTGTGGGTACTGCTTACAATAGGAGGGAAATGAGTTTTTGGTACTCATATCTTCTTACTTGCAAGGACTACTAGAAAGTGAAGGATCCTAAGGTAGTAGCAGATGGAGTTTTGGTACTCACTTCTTCCACTGCACTTACGTAACGTTCAATCGAAATATTACCATCTTATGCACTGCAAATGGCAGGCCTCTGTACGCCATAGTACAAGTTTCAAGCAATGGGATGAGTCGCACTACCCTGAAAATTTTACTCAGTAATAAGAGAGCATGGCTCCAACCATGGCTAGTTTGCAACCAGGCCTGCCTACTGCTACTCCTGCTACAGCTATATCCGACAACAGCTTGGTAACTTTCACTCACTCAGAGATGTCCTGGATGTTTCCTCCGTATGATGCAAACTAATTCTACTTTTCTCTCCTATCACAGATCAATGGCCTCCCATTGCAGCTCGATTGTGGCAGGGTTGTGGATGCAGATACTACACTTTCATCTGGCTTTAAAGACTGGAAGAAGTGGCGTTTGGTTGTTTCCTATGATGGCACTCGCTATGCTGGCTGGCAGTTTCAGGAATCCCCTTCTACTATACAAGGGTTACTCGAAAAAGCCCTGACTCGAGCGACCAAGCTTGAGAGGAAACATCTTCAAGTTGTTGGAGCAAGCAGGACTGATGCTGGAGTTCATGCTTTGGGCCAGGTCGCACAGTTCCTCACGCCTTTCAACTATGACTCCTTAGACCGTGTTCATGCAGCTCTCAACGGCCTACTACCCGAAGACATTCGAGTACGAGAGGTTGCACCTGCTCTGCCTGAATTCCATGCTCGATTCTCGGTCACCAGCAAGCTCTATCGCTACAGGATCTATAATGATGCGGTGATGGACCCACTCCTGCGCCACTATGCCCACCACAGCCATTACAAACTCGATACAGCTGTCATGGCGGAAGCTGCCATGCATTTTGTTGGGAGTCATGATTTCTCAGCCTTTGCCAATGCATCTCGCAATGATCGCGTGCCAAATCCTGTCAAGACAATTCTCCGCTTTGATGTTTCTGAAATGGCATGGATTAAGTTGCTAGAATCTTTTGTTGTTTTCAGTTCCTATTTGTGTATGTCTATGGTATAACAATGGGCTGACATGGTGCTGCTGCAGGGGCCACTGATCCAGCTAGATGTCGAAGGCACCGGTTTCTTGTACAGACAAGTGCGCAACATGGTTGGTTTCAGTTTTCACTTAATACTCTTAGTTTAACCCTACACTTATGAAATGCTCGGTTCCAATTGCTCCTTTTCGTTTTCTTCGCTTGCAGGTTGCTTTGCTGCTGCAAATAGGAAAGCAAGCTATCCCTCCTGATATAGTAACAACGATCTTGGCGAGTCGTGATCGCAGAGAGCTCGCCAAGTATGCTCTGGCGGCCCCAGCTCATGGTCTCTGCCTTGTCTCTGTCAATTACAACCAAGACCACCTCCAGCTTCCCAAACTGGGATCCCCCGCAGTTAGTTTTGGCAGACATCACACCATCAGCAGATGTAAGCTCCCGCCATCACTTCTGTAGGTTGTAGAATGTAGTAAGTGGATTTCCTTCTATTTCACCCGCATATGTTAGCTTAAAGACCTTAATCACTTCTGGTTACAATCATATAATCATTGTATGGATCACAACAGATAGTAATGCTTTGAAATTTGTCACTGAGAAACCGAAATGGATCATCAAATTTGATGAAATCCTTCCTGTGACATTGTTTTTATGGTATTTATCAGACCTAACTCGATGAGCTTGTTTGAGATAATGTAAGTAACGACAAAGACGACATGCCACATACGAGCTGCCCTGGTGTATGTGTATCCTGGAGGATACTCCATCCTAGAGATGGCAATTTAAACTATGCCCACTAGTATGTATCAGTTACGTCCATAATCTAACATTAGGCATATACTTCGGAGGGCCTCATAATTTTGCGGTTAACTCTTGATAGCAAGCGGTTAAGGCTTGTAGTCTTATCGGTGGCCACTAAGGAATTATTTTCTTAGTATGATAGCCAGTGTGAATTTAACAGAGTATAACTTGTGAATCCTTAGTTCCTTACGACTTGAGCCATCTCTACCATAAGAGAAGGACGAAAGCTTTGTCGTCTTTTGTATATGAGCTAAGAATCTTGTATTCTTGGCTAAAACATGCAGAAAGAGGGAGAAAAAGAAATAAATATTTTCTTTTTAACTTGCTTATATCAGAGACTCCTTCGTACCATTCGTATTCCAGCTACTTCCTTACATTTTCTATTGCAACATGGCACAATAAGATAAATGTAATTAGGAACAGTAATTTAAGACATCCTTCGGCCTCTTTCAATAACTTGTATTATTGAGATAAATTCGACAGTTTTTGGAATATTAGAACGTTTGATCGAATGTCTCATACTTGAATATTGATGATCCTCATATATTATTGGTTGAATATTTTTATAAAAGTGGAGGTTACTGTTTCACTTTCATTTTTCATCATCAGTAAAAGGAAATTATATGGCTCATTTTGGATCTCTTGCAAGTTGCAATAGCTCAATATATGGGCACCAATGAATTCATTCTTGTAATCTAGCAAGCGGGGTCTCAGTCATTGCTGCAAATTTTCCAGTGGCGTTTACTCGCAGTTTTCGCCATTCAGAGGACGGACCTTTTCCCAAGCTGACGCTGGAGTCTCAGCATTGCAGGGATTCTTCACTTAGATCTGTGATCTTGCTTTGCTCCTGTTTGCTGTTTTCCTGTTCTTTCTACCTCTCCTTTGGAGGCTGCTGCTTTCCCTCCTGTTTGTCTGTTCTTTCCTTTCCTTTCCTTTTCCTTGTAATTGATGTCATCATCATCCAAAAATAAAAAATGTTCTAATGACTACTGAGTGGCCTACAAGCCTATCATTAATTAGTGCTGTACAAAGGTGATTAACAAGACAAGATTGTTGGGCCCCTTCGGCCACTGATGGAGCTGTTAGATAATTCACAGCCCTGGAGGGTGGTGGAGACATTGTAGAACCGTGGAGGGAGGGGAGGCTACCTACCCAGATTGCTCCGCGCAAGTTTCAACTTCCGTGCGTAAGTTACGACCAAAAATTGTTTCCATTTCAGCTTCCAAGAGAGGAAGGTGTGAACAGATATCAAAAGAGAAATGGTGGGAGGAGGTGGATTTGTGTACGGGGAAGTGATGACATTTTCAGCGATGGTGAGTATAGAGTGTATGAATGTTGGGTTGAACACACTCTTCAAAGTTGCAACTATGGCAGGCATGAGCTACCATGTCTTTGTTGTATATTGCCACGCAATTGCTACTCTTGCTCTCCTCCCTGCTCCTCTCTTCTCCCGCAGGTTGACTTTCAATTCTCTCTCATTTTGCCGATTAACTTGGGGATTCTGAGAAATTAATCAAGGGGAAAGCAAAGGGTGAATTTGCTTTGTGGGTTGATTTTGCAGACCAAGAGCTCTTCCTGGGCTAAGTTTCTCTGTACTCTGGAAAATCGGTCTTCTGGGGGTCACAGGGTAAGTTTTTCCTTTTTTTGCTTAGGAAAACGAACGAGCACTGATGAATTCATTCCTCTGATTCTGGTTTCGCTGGTTTTGAATTGATTTTGTCTTGGGTGTTGTGGATTTGAGAGCAGAAGCTCGGCCCAGATCATTGGATACGCAGGCATCAATTACAGCTCTCCTACGCTTGCTTCAGCTATAGGCAACCTCACTCCAGCTTTTACCTTTCTACTTGCTGTCATTTGCAGGTAATTTCTTGCCATTCTTCTGCACGGCCAAAGATCCAAAGAGCTGTAATCTTCACTTTCCTTCATTCTGAATTTGGGAAATGATGAGTAACATTGAGTTCGACTCATCCATTTATTTGACTGAATGTTACCACTTTTTAACCTTTTCCGTACCTGTTTGACATCTAAGAATGGAGACAGTTATTGTGAGGAGACGATCCAGTCAGGCAAAAGTATTGGGCACATTAGTGTCAATAACAGGTGCATTTGTTGTCACTCTCTACAAGGGCTCTCCACTTTTTATGGCTTCCTCTTCAGCTCAACTCAATCAATCCGTAGGCAGCTCACCAAACCAAAACTGGGTCCTTGGTGGGGTGTTTCTCACCTGTGAGTACATTCTAGTTCCTTTATGGTACATTGTTCAGGTATATATGCACCTCTCTTAAACTGGGAACTTCTTGTAGTTCGGAATTCCGAAGAACTGATGTAGAATCACTCTGGTGTTGGTGTTTGGTCGAACGCAGACTCAAATTATGAAGGAGTATCCAGCTGAATTCACAGTAGTCTTCTTCTACAACTTAGTTGTGTGCCTCATTGCCACATTTGTTGCTCTGATTACGGAAGGGACTTCTCCAAATGCATGGATAGTGAGTCCTAATGTAGCATTAGCTTCGGTGGTTTGCTCGGTACGAGGTTAATTCAGGACTTGGTGTTTCCGAATGTTTAAGGCTGAAGATAAACAACGAACCTTTTCTGACCTTTTGCCAATGCTGCTGGTGTGTTTGTTGTAGGGATTTGGATCGTGCTTGAACAGCTGTGTTCATACGTGGGCACTGCGGATCAAGGGACCTGTGTTTGTAGCAATGTTCAAGCCATTTTCCATTGCCATCGCTGTTCCTATGGGCCTGATGTTCTTGGGCGACAGACTTTATCTGGGAAGGTAGCAATTAATTAACTCACTACCATTCATTGAATGTCCTGATTTGTACTGCATTTATTATAAAAATTTCAAACCTGCTCAATGTCCATCCTTGCAGTGTGATCGGGGCAGTAGTAATATCGATTGGGTTTTACACTGTGATGTGGGGAAAAGCTCAAGAGAATGATTTCACAGAGGCATGCGGTGGTGCTAATTGCAGCAGCCAGCAGCAGGAAACTCATTCCACAGAGAAGGCTCCTCTGTTACAGAGCTACAGAAGAATTGCACAAGTTTAAGCAGACACCATTGCATTTCCGACAAAGTGAAGAAGCCAAATTGCTTGAAAACCTTGTGTGTGTCCGGTTTTCTTAAAGAAGGAAAAGGCCTTTGCTCATCATCAGCAGTATGGAGAGCTAGGACAACCGTGCAGAACAAGCAACAGCGGCTGGACCGGGGATGGAAATGCAGCTTCAATGGCCAACCTGTAGCGTGTTAGCAGGATGAAGGATTATTTATGTTAACTGGGAGGAGAAACTCAGGGAAACCTGTAAATATTCATCTTCACAAACAGGTTCCTGTATTTTGTCAGTTGTCCGTTTATAGCACCTTTAATTACAAAATCAATCCAAATTCAGCTAGTTTATGGTTAGGATCAACGATGCTTAATAAGTAAGTATTGGATACTAACATAATTTCAAGTATGCTGTATATTTGCATTTTACCCTTAATACGACTTTCAAATCTGACAACTCCTCTCATTTTTACTATGCATAAGTCATTTATGACTCAATCAAGACCTATATTAATTTATGAGATGTGAGTCATCATGGATTTATGTTTACGGTTTATCCCATCAAAAATTTATTTTGATAAAGTTTCTAAGGAAAGAACTAAAAATGGGATAACCGATATAGTATTGGTATTTCTTCGCTTAAAGTTTTTAGCAGAGTGACCTATTTATCCAAACTACATATTACAGTGACTAAATATGCTATTAACCTATCTGAATCGCTATTTGCCGCCCGCCCCTTTACTATTTGCCGCCCGTGGTTACAAAAAATATGACGAATTTGCCCCTCCTTCTAACTAACCCTAAATCCTATCAAACTCATCCCTCACAACCTCCTCGCACAAACTGCCGGCGGCGGCGACCGCTGCTCCCACCGCCGACCCCTCTACTGCTCCCACCACTAACACCTCCATTCCTCCGACCTGGTCCGCCGACCCCTCCACAACCTCCCCTCACAAAGTCGCGGACGTTGAAGAGGAAGGAGCTCGCCACGGGTGCTGTCGTCGCCGACGTAGAGGAAGGGGTCCGACCGCCGGTCGCGGACGGGGTCCGACCGCCGGTCGCGGACGGGGTCCGACCGCCGGTCGCGGATGGGGTCCGACCGCCGGAAGCGGACGGGGTCCGATCGCCCTTCGCGGACGGGGTCCGAAATCCATCGGCGGACCGGTTTCGAAAACCGTCGGTTCCTGTTTTTTTTCCTTCAAAAATCGTGTTTGAATTATAATTTATTTATTTAGTAATTAAATATGTGTAAAATACCATAATTAGGATTTAAATAATTATAAGTATGATAATTAAGCAAATTGAAGAGAATTTTTTAAGGCAAGTTTTCGAAAGAGAAAATTGAGTAATAAGTTTTCGGAAGAAAATTTCCGTAATTAATAATATATTATTTTGATTATATAATACATCTAATGATTATCATTTATTAATATATTAACATCCCAATCCAAATAAGTTAACAACTCAATCCACTTATGGTAGTTGATTGAGGGAATTAGGGTTTGACTTAATAAGGGTTTGACCCGAATTAGGGTATGACCCGAATTAAGGTTTGATTTAATTAGGGTTTGACCCGTATTAAGGTTTGACATAATTAGGATTTGACCCAAATTAGGGTTTGACTAAATTATATATTATTTTGACCACAGTTGTTTGAGGGAATTAGGGTTTGACTTAATTAGGGTTTTATCCAAATTAGGGTTTGACTTCTATAGGGTTTGACCTGAATTAAGGTTTGATTTATATAGAGTTTGACCCGAATTAAGGTTTGACATAATTAGGGTTTGACTTAATTAGGGTTTTACCCGAATTAGGGTTTGACTAAATTATATATTATTTTTGACCACTGTTGTTTGAGGGAATTAGGGTTTGACTTAATTAGGGTTTGATCCGAATTAGGGTTTGACTTAATTAGGGTTTGATCCGAATTAGGGTTTGACTTAATTAGGGTTTAACCACAGTTGAAATATAATTTAGGTACGTTGATCTTATTAAATATGAAATAAATACAATTAAAAACATAATTTATACACTACTTCAGATAATTTGTAATTATTTAACATACTATAATTATTTAATTGGTATTATACTGAATTTATTTATTTTAGCTCTATTTACATAATTATAAAATAAGTATGAATTAGTTTGTACAATATTTTTTATAATTTTATTTTATTTTTTATAAATGCACGGTCCGCTCGCCGGCGTCGGACGGGGTCCTCCCGCCGGCGTCGGACGGGGTCCTCCCGCCGGCGTCGGACGGGGTCCTCCCGCCGGCGTCGGACGGGGTCCTCCCGCCGGCGTCGGACGGGGTCCTCCGCCGGCTGTGATGATTTGGTTCTGGCCGCAGTGGTGATCTGGCGGTGGTGGCGACGTCGGCGATTTGGCGGCGGTGGTGGACTGGCGCCGGTGACAGCAGGAGTGGCGGGGTTTGTTTTATAAAAAAATGAACAAAGGGTAAAAATGTCATTTTAGTTTAATTTACGGGCGGCAAATAGTAAAGGGACGGGCGGCAAATAGTAACCCTCTAACCTATTAGCCACGAAGGATTCCATTAATTTCCTACCCAATGTCTCGACTCTCGAGTCATCTCCCTCAGCAAGCCACACGCCCACTAGTGTACGACAACTCCCTGACCCTCTGAATCTTTTTCCTTTCTTCCTTCTTTCATTCTCCAGCTGGTTCAGTCATCAGTCCGATTCTCTGAGTAAACAGAGAGATAGATCGGAGAAAAAGATGACGGCAATGAGTTATTTCCTAGAATCAGTGCTTCCATTTTCAGTCATGGTTGGTCTCGAGCTCATCAGCGTTGCGCTAAACACCCTGTTCAAAGCTGCGACGTTGCAGGGCATGAGCTACCATGTCTTCGTCGTCTACGACTACGCTACCGCCGCCCTCGTACTCCTCCCAGCTGTTTACATCTCTCGCAGGTTGTTCCTTCTTTTCTTCTTCCTTATCTCTCGTGACTAGTAAAGGAAATAGCTTGATTACTCTGGTTTTTGGCCCCTGCTTTTGTTTTGCAGATCCACAAGTACTCTTCCTCCTTTGACTTCTCGCATGATATGGAAAATTTGTCTTCTTGGGATCATTGGGTAATCTTACTTTACTCTGTTCTTGTGGAATTTGGGATTGGGAATTGTAATGAGAACGAGGTTAAGGGGGTTTCAATTTGAGAACCAAATTTCGGAGAATCCAATGGAAAAGAGCAAAAACTTAGAGGTGAAAGAAATGAATGAACACAGGGGAGCATCTAAGATGATGGGGTACACGGGGATCAATTTCAGTTCACCAACACTGTCTTCAGCCTTAAGCAACCTCACTCCAGCTTTTACATTCATATTTGCCGTCATGTTCAGGTGATTTGCTTTCCCCCAATTTGGTTTCTTCAACCCTTCTCCCCTCCTCTTGCTGATGATGGTACCTGTAATTGAACCCCAAAAACAAAGAATGGAAAAGGTTACAATGAGGAGAAGATCAAGCCAGGCCAAAATTGTGGGCACCATAGCTGCAATCACAGGTGCATTTGTTATAACCTTCTACAAAGGTCCTCCAATTTCCTTTGCCACCACTACACCACCATCATCAGTTCTTTCTCAACTTGATCAACAACCTTTTCAAGTCTCGTCATCGACAACCCCGAATTGGATTCTTGGTTCCGTTTTTCTGACCATTCAATACATACTAATTCCACTCTGGTGTGTTGTTCTGGTATGCTTTTGCTCCTCCCTCATTCACCATGAAGTTATAACCTTGACCAATTATCCTTTATGGGTTTGGCATATTTTGTTTGGCAACAGACTCAGATAATGGAGGAATACCCTGCAGAACTCACGGTAACCTTTCTATACGACTTGGTAGTATGCGTCTTTGCAGCAGTTGTTGCTTTGATTGCTGAAGGAACATCATCGAGCGCCTGGTTGCTTAGTTCGAGGATTGCATTTGCCTCGGTGTTATGCTCGGTGAGAGGAAAATACTAGTTACATGTCTTTATGGATGAATGAATGAATTATTTAGTATTAATGGAAATCAGTGTACTGTAAACTAGGGAGTGTTCGGATCATGCATGAGCAATGCTATCGATGCATGGGCGCTAAGGGTTAAGGGGCCTCTATTTGTGGCAATGTTCAGTCCATTTTCCATGGTGATTGCTGTTGTCATGGGGGTGGTGTTTCTGGGGGATCCACTGCTTCTTGGAAGGTATAGTTTCTTATCAAGTTTACATCTGAGAGTGTTCTTCCATTTCCAATCAATGCTACAAAGTCTCAAATTTTCCACTTTGCTTTTGATCAACTATTTCACAGCCTAATTGGAGCAACAATCATATCCGCCGGGTTCTACATGTTGATGTGGGGAAAGGCGAAAGAGATCGATAATAGTGAGACCAAATTAGAAGAAGATCCGTGTCACAATAGCAGCAGCCTTCAGGCACCCCAGTCTGGAGAGGATGTTCATGCCCCTTTGCTGCAAAGCTACAAAACTGAACAAGTGTAACATGAATTCATGTGCATGAAATCTGTATCTTGGACTTGTATAATGTACAGTTTGGTTCAAGTAACCTCTTAAGAGTTAAGAACCATTAACGAAGCATGAAACCTGGGCTGTTCAAATTCAGCTTCCATTTGTATAATTGTATCCCTCTGCATATGTAAAAGAGTGAGAGCAGCAGAAAGGTTTCTGTTTTACTGTATTCTGTTGAGTGAAATGAAAGAAACCTACTAATTGTCAGAATTTGTGACAAAATATTTGCATTACATTTATGCACATTTTCTACCTTTTGTGCAAGTTTATTGATAAATTATACAACTCAAGCTGTATTCATATACTTAATATATTTTGTCATGAAATTCTATTTACCAATCAACCAATAGTTTCACGAAATCTCATCCATCAATCATAAACCCCATCAGCCATACCTAATTATGTGATTGTTGCGGAATCAAAGATTTTAATCATACAAATCACAATTCTGTATTGTTTTAATTCAAAAAGACATACCAAATTATTTTGCACACAACTTATACCACTAGATATTTGCCATCATGCATTGTAGAAAATGTGTATGTCCAATTACCACATGTCACTTTTGATGTGAACTATATGAGTAGAACTCTTTGTTTCAAGATCAAATATAAAGAAGTGAATAAATTCATGTTTAATAGGTCACCTGACTTGAATTTCAAGATCTATTTTTTTCTTTTTTTGCTATCAAATGCTAATTTGATTAATTAAATTGTTAATGCATATTACCATATAACCTACATCGATATAACAAAGGGCTCAAGATAGGGTGCATAACCATGGGTTATGCATCCATCAATAACCAAATCTGAACCCTTCATTTAGAAAATCCAGATCTAAGGATGGAGAATTAAAGATCATTTTTATTTTCTCTAGCTTTTTAATCGGCTCATATCTTTTTCGTTTTAACTCGGATTTTAATTTTTTTTGCACAGGTGGAACGAGTTCATCGTGCTCTACAAAATGAGATCAATTTTAAATAATTTTTTAGAACAAAAAATTATGGCCTCTCGATACCAACTGTATACCATATGGTATTTTCTTCATTTTAATTCGTTTTTGAAAACGTTTGCACAGAAGGGACGAGTTCATCATGATCTATTAGATCTACAAATTTCTGGGTGAACAAATTACAGGACCAAAAAATACCACACAATACCATACAATACCACCCTGGTACGGGGTGGTATTGTATGGTATCTTCTTCATTTTTAATTCGTTTTTGAAAACGTTTGCACAGAAGGGACGAGTTCATCATGATCTATTGGATCTACAAATTTATGGGTGAACAAATTATAGGACCAAAAAATACCACACAATACCATACAATACCACCCTGGTACGGGGTGGTATCTTGTGGTATACAATGTTAAAAGTCGTAAATGACAATTAATATATTTCTACTATCATGTATTCAACCATCCTATAGTCTTGGTTTGTTCATACCACCATGGTACTTTTTTCAAACCATATGTATGCTTTTATTTCAATACCAGTCAATACCATATGGTATAGACTGGTAAAAAATGGCTCAATTTTTTTTGTTCGAAAAATATATTAAAGTGGATATTATTTTGAAGAGCACAATTAATCTGATCTAACTGTGCAAAAAAAATTAAATTTCGACTTAAAATGAGTGAGAAATCATTCGTCAAATATTAAAGAGGGGAAAATTAAAGGCTTTCCAGGAGAGAGAGAGGATGCAGATGTCATGCTAATGTGGACGGGTTACTCATGGTTACTCACCACAAGGTTACTCACCTGATCTGCTCCCATAACAAAGATATCAAACTCAATAGTATAATAAATTATTTATTAGCATTTTGTCACCTCGCAACAAAAAATGCTAACATTATAATTTGGGTTATAGGTATAATATGCCCCTCTACTATGTCATTTTATCAAACATGCCCCTTAACTATTTTTTACATCAAACATGCCCCTGTACTTTGGGAAAATGATCAAACATGCCCTTTTATCAAAATTTAGATCCAAAAACTGTTAACCACGGTCAAACTTTGGTTTGGACGACATAAATCTCTAAAATACCCCTACTAATTTCACTATAGAATTTTTTTGGCTCTTTTGTATAGCCAAATAATTCTAATAATTTCACTTTGACGAGACCCAGAGAAATAAAACAGGGGACAAAACTGACATTTTTCCTCCCGTTTGCCGATGTTGGGTCGTCTAAATCTCGGTTCAACCATGATTGACAATTTTTTCAATAGAAATTTTAACAGAAGGGCATGTTTGATAATTTTTTCAAAGTACAGGGGCATGTTAGATGCAAAAAATAGTAAAGGGGAATGTTTGATAAAACGACATAGTATAGGGGCATATTATACCTAGAACCCTTATAATTTCATTAGGAGTTTGCTTTGTCTGGATGCTGAATTTAATCCTCGTCTGTGTACCCCGTCATCTTAGGTGATCCCCTATTGATTTAAGTTTTGTATCTCATGTTCAGCAGAGACAAGCCCGCCACAAGCGCCACAAAGCATGCAGCTTCAGTGTTAAGCATAAACCCATAAATTAGGCAGGCAACAATGACCCAAGAAAAAAGGAAAAAACCAAAGTGTAAAATTCAAGTACCCGACATACCAAGTAGGGAAGGCAATTTTGCCTATACCCATTGATTTTTTACTATCCAAATCAATTGGGTTGGGTATGAAATTCAAATAGATGGATATGGGTAGAGTTTGATGGGTTTGTACCCATACCCACTTTACTTGGGTTGAGTTGGTTTATAACAAACGGATTTGGGTTTGTACCCATGTCCAAATGTAAATTACAGTTTGGTATCAAAACTTAATAGATATGCATATTTAGTACCTAAATTTAAATTTTTTTGCATATAAGTCCTCAAAATATCGATGGAAAATTACGTTTTGGTACCTAATTTTTTTTGTCTTACATTTTTGGTACCTAAACTTTTCAAGTTTTACAAATAGGTCCAGATTTTTGCATGTGTAGTTAAAACATCCTCAAGTAAATGAATATCCATATCCAACCCATACCCATTTAGATTATGGAAGCAATATTCATACTCATACCCAACCTATCTACAAACCCCCAAACCCATGTACACTTCACCCATACCCAACCCATTATGAATGGGTTTATTTGGATTTGGGTATAATTACCCAAGTAAACCAGCTGCCAAATGAACTGTATATGAGTGGAGCACGAATTTCATCTTACCATAGTACGTCAACTTGAGAAGTTAAGATGGCAAAAGTTGGAGTTGAATTTCTCCAATTGTATAAATTCCATGTGAGGAATCACCATACGTACATAGCCTTAATTGATGCCCACTTCACCCACCCAATAACTCAAAAAAGAACGATGACAGTGACAACTTGAAACCCCATTATAAATTCCGCCACTTGACAGTTCCTGCCAAGTCATCCATTATTAACACCGCTGCTTGTGCCGGCCACGCAACCCGAGCCATTTTCAAACACTCCCAGCAGCTTTTCAGTGAAGAAAAGGACACAGAAGAAGGTGGGAAGGTGAACGGAAAGGGGAAAAGATGACGGGAGGATACTATTTCCACAGAGATGTGCTGCCGTTTGTAGCCATGGTCAGCTTGAACATCATCAACGTTGGGATCAATACGCTCTTCAAAGCTGCAACAGTGGAGGGGATGAGCAACCATGTCTTCGTCGCCTATGACTATGCCATCGCTTCTCTTGTTCTTCTTCCTGCTCCTTTCCTCTCCAAAAGGTTCTGCCTTTTCCCCATCCCAATTGCTCTCTGATCGGCAAGTCCGAGTTGGTTTTCTGGGAAAACTCAATATGCAGCATAATTTTGCAGGTCGAGTGTTCTTCCTCCTTTGAGCTCCTCAGTTGTGTGCAAAATTGGCCTCCTCGGGCTCATAGGGTGGGTTGAGTAACTTCATGTGAAATCAACCTTTTGATGATCTCAATATCTGAGCTTTCCTGGGTTTTCTGTTGAATTGGTGGCTAATTTCTTCCCAGGAGTTCATCACAAATCATGGTGTACACTGGAATCAACTACAGTTCTCCAACTCTTGCGTCCGCCATTGGCAATCTCACTCCAGCTTTTACTTTCCCGTTTGCCGTCATTTGCAGGTACCATTTCTTTCCCAATCCTAGCTCCTGCTACTGTATTTTCAGTAGCCACAACTTTCTACCACTTGTCCGTGAACGGAACTCTCTCTAATTTCACCTTCGTCACGAAAAGGATGGAAAGAGTTGCGATTAGAAGATCATCCAGCCAGGCCAAAATCCTAGGCACAATAGTGGCAATAGCAGGTGCATTTGTGGTGACCCTCTATAAGGGTCCCCCCATTTTCGCGTCAGAATCTCCATCACCAACTAAACTGAATTATCAATCATCCCTTCTTCAGTCATCAACAGCAACTACGCAAGGACATTGGGTACTCGGTGGGATGTGTCTCACCGTGAAGTATATACTTGACCCTTTGTGGTACATTGTAGTGGTATGTATTGTCTGCTTCCTTCCAAACCCATCTTCATTAGATTGCTGTTCATTTCACCATGAAGTCTCAAATTGTGCTGTTTTGTGGAACAGACACAGATAATGAAGGAGTACCCTGCAGAATTCACAGTGATCTTCTTCTACAATGTAATTGTCTGCATCATAACATCAGTTTTTGCTCTGATCACTGAAGGAACAACATCAAGTGCCTGGATATTCAGCAGTAGAACAGCAATAGCATCGGTTTTCTGCTCGGTAAGAGACTTAACAATACTCATCACCAAATGGGCAGTATCAAGACTATGCCTTTGTTAAACCTTTGCATGTTCGATTAGGGAGTGCTTGGATCGTGCTTGAGCAATGGTGTGGACGCATGGGTGTTGCGGCTCAAGGGGCCAGTATTTGTGTCCTCGTTCAAACCTTTCGCGATGATTGTAGCTGTTGCCATGGGAGTAACGCTTCTTGGTGACATTCTGCATCTAGGGAGGTAAAACAAACTTCAGTTTCAACACAGATAGACAGAGAAAGTCCACAAAGCTAGTAACTTTAACCCTAACAGGATATCCCCTTTTGTTTTCAATCGTCCAATTTTGGCAGCCTGATTGGAGCAATAACCATTGCAATTGGGTTCTACATGCTGATGTGGGGAAAGGCCAAAGAGGAAGATGATGACACCATCCCACAACAGAACAGTCACCATGTTAGTAGTACCCTCGAACCTCAATCCAACGAGAAGGTACCTTTACTGCAAAAGCTGAACCAGTAGGGAATCACCATTCAAGGTGTAGTTGAAAACAGCAGCAGAAGCTGCCGATTGGTCCGCATCCAAGATTAAATGCAGGGTGGTATCTAATAACCTAGTATGACCTGTAAATATAGACGCCGGGTGCTTGTTCCATGAAAGCCAATTTGCAAAGAAGTAAAGCCAATAATTGAAATTTGGAAGGCCATCAAGTGGAACTCTTTCCTCTGTTCCAGAAGGGTTGGAGGGAGAGAAAGAACTGACCTGGCTGTGTAGAACTTCTACCGTAGAAGTGCGAAATGCTTTGCCGTTGCCGGAATAGTTCGTTCCGAACTTGATGAAAGAACGAATGCTAGAGGCAGGCAGGTGGTAGAGCCTTGCCGGCTGCTGAATGGGCCGGGTGGTGCAAATCGTGGTTTGCGATTGTGAGTTTCATTTGTTCCCTTTTGGACATAGTTCTATGGGCCTGCTAGCTAGGCTTGAAGCCTGATCACCTATGAGCTATGGTCCAATATTAACGTTTTTTTGGGTTCTGTAGTGTAGTTAGTTACCCCGATCTCTTTCACTTAATGTACGTGAAAAGATTAGTTACCACTTACCACTTATACTACGGCTTCCTTTCCATTATGGTCAACCACTCAACCATGAGAAAGCCGTCCAACATAATTTTGGAAAAAATCCCACTGTACACATGTTTTTAAAAAAAATTCTCAAAATACACATGTTATGAAAAAAATTCCCAATCTACGCATGTTTGGGCCTTCACCGCGTCTGACAAAGACGGTGATTGAATCACCGCGTTAGACGAAAACGGTGATTGCATCACCGCCTTAGACAAAAACGGTGACTGCATCACCGCTGTAGAGAAACGCGGTGAATGCATCAAATCAATGTGAATGAGAAAAAATCAATGTGAATGGTAATCAAGATAAGAGATCAAATCAGTGAGTGGTAATCAAGATAAGAGATCAAATCAATGTGAATGAGAAAAAATTACACAGCCTTTCACATACGATATATGATTCGTTGAAAAAGAACAATAAAAAATCGAGAAGCTTATAGGCCAAACCGAGAGAAGGAAATTCGTATCCCTTCTCCATATATGATCTGAAATTCTTTAAATCCATCACCCAATCGTGCGTTAGATCTTAGCTTCTCTTCGTTTCGCAGTAGGATGCCTAAGTTAAGGTAGAAGAATTTTTTCCAAGATACCTCACCTCTGAGGCCAAAAAAAGATGACCACAATTTAGGTCAAAGGAGAAGAGAAAGACACTGCCATCGGCCATCATAGGCGGCGTCAATCTCCCAATTCAAGATCCAGCGGTTTGAGCAGCTTGGAGCTACCAGATCTGTCGCACTGAGATTGCCAGTTCTATTGCAGGTACCTTAACTGAAAAAACTCAATCAACTAACAAAAGCACCCCGCCCGTCTTCTTCATCTTTATCAAAGAATTCCTCGGTCGAATGTGTCTGCTTCCTCCTTCCGCTTATTGACAGAGTCAGAGGATAGGAGAGGAAAAGGGAAAGCGGGTAGGGTTGAAGGGATTATTATACCATTGTATTGCCTATATAACAGAGTGACCTGCAACTTAATCACAGCCAGGAGGAAGCAAAGCCGTTTAAGAATTGGGCAGAGGAGGGAAAGCAGGTTGGGTCTAAGGGTTCGGGAAGCTGGGGCCTGGGAGGGTAGGCGGCCTCAGAGGATTGCTTAGCTAACCGCTAGAGGTCTACCAAGGATCACCAATCCAAAAGTAGGTTTGGGTGTACCGTAGCCTCCCGGTGAACAGTAATTCCAAAATTCTCTTAATGAACAGTGCCTCGTTTTTTTGGCTGCTTGTGACATAATAATGTTTTTTTGGCTGCTTGTAGCATAATAATAACTAATAATTCTTCTTATTAAAGAACAAGTAAGATGTGCACTATTACTTAGAGTCACATCATGCTAATGATTGGTTGTTTGCTTTTTGTTGTTGTCTTTTAGTTGGTTAGTGTCTTTGGGTTCTCTGTTATGGTTTTGTATTTTGCTTGAGTGAGTGTTCTGTTGTTCTTTTTTCTTAAAGCGTATTATGTTTCTGACCGATCTTGAATTGTGTTTCTCGGTTACTCTTTTTCTTTCTATCTTCTGTTTTGCTCTCTGACTTTTTCTTTGCTTTCTCGATGGCGTTGTTATGTTGTTTTCATATCGAATTGTCTTTGTAAACGATCTTGACCTTTTGTTCTCGAGACTATTACTTATAGTCATATCATGCGTATTATTTCTTTACCGATCTTGAACTGTACCTCTCGATTACTCTTTTTCTTTCTACCTTTTGTTTTGCTCTCTAACTTTTTCCTTGGTTTCTCGATTGCGTTATTATGTTGTTCTTAAAGCGTACTGTGTTTTTAAACGATCTTGAACTGTTGTTCTCGATACTGTTGCTCACATCATGCAAAGAATTGGTTTCTTCTTTTTTGGTGTTGTCGTTTAGTTTGTTAGTGTTTTAGTTTTCCTTTTATTGTTTTTACGTTTGCTCGCGTGAGTGTTGTGTTGTTTTTTTTTTAGACCGAATTGTTTTCTAAACGATCTTAAACTGTCGTTCTCGGTTGCTCTTGTTAGTTCTACCTTATGTTTTGCTCTTTACCTTTTTTTGTTTCGTTCTCGATTCTTATTTTCTGGTATTCCTTATGTTAATTCGATTCCTTTTTTTTTTTACACTCTTTGCCTGTTGTCCGCCTTTGCTTATCGCACAACTGTTCCTTGGGTTTTAAATTGCTATTGCTTTTTCCTTCGTCTTATTTTGTTATAGTTCCTTTACTCGCGCAGTTTGTTGCGTTTTGTGTCTTTTTATACAACACATTATGCTCCTTGCCAGTTTGGAGTTGTTGTTCTCGATTCCTCTTTTTCTTACTACCTTTTATTTTGCTCTCGTGGCCTGTTTTGCCTATCTCGGGTCTTATTTTTTTTATTGCTACTTTAAATCGATTACTGTCTTTTGTTGTGTTCTTTGCCTGTTGTCCAACTTTAATTCTTGTCAATTGTTGCTTTGTTTTTATATTGCTATTACTTTATTCTTCGTCTTTTCTTTAGTTTGGTTCCTTTATTCGTGCTTTGTTACGTTCTTTTGTTTTTTTTTCAACGGGGTTTTGTCACCGATTTGGAACTGCTATTGTCGATACCTTTTTTTCTTTTAACCGTTTTGTTGCATTTTATGCCTTTTTTGCAACTTCGATTTACGCACAAATGTTCCTACCTCTTTTTTGTCCTTGCCTTCATTTTGTATGAAACTTCTTTTTCTGTCAAGTTTTACCTTCGAGACGTGTGCTTCATTCGTTCTCCCCCATTATTTTGTACAAGTTGCGTGCCAAGTTTGAAGGTCTTGGTGTTTCCTCTTCAAGAAAAATACATTTTTTGCCCGTTCGTTTTATGGATTTAATAATTCTTTGTCCTGGTAGTGATGGCTTGTGTGCGGTCGGACAATTTTGTTGCAAATTATATTCCATAATTGTGCAAATGTTACACGTTTGGTTAGGGAATTATTGGGTCTCCATGCGAATTGCGTTCAGTGGACGAGGATATGACCAAATACAATCTAGAGTTTTGCTGGTCTTGCATTTAGCTTTATGGTTTATATTAAACTAGGAGTGACGCCAAACAGTACATCACCATGGGTGGGTTCTCAACTATTGAATTCCCTTACCTTTTTGGATGTGGTTTCCGATGGGTTGTTCTCTCTTCTGACAGACCCGCTTATCCTTACGAAGTCAAATCATGGTCAGAGAAGTGCTGGTTTCCCCTCTACTTTATCAGTGGTGTATCGATCCCCGTTCCATCAAGCCTTGCTTTTCGCCTTTGCTCTTACCCTTTCACTTCGCCGTCGTTCCACCGCTTGGTCTGTTGGTTGCCATTTTGGTCTTTCTCAATCATCATTGCACCTTCGCACTATCCCATGTCTACTCTTTGCCCAGGATATTCATCGACTTGCCTCTCCCTTCGCCATTTGAACTCCAGTTTATTATTACTCTCTCCAACAGTGTTTCCCCTTTCAGAGGTTGCCGATGGTCGGCCATAAGCTTTTACTTGATCTCAAGGATACAGATGGTTTGCAGACTGCTTTGAAGCTTCGCTTGCTGCATGCGTGGGGCTCTTATGGTTTGAAGAACCCTGCTCTTATCTATAATTACTGCACACTTTGGACTGATGAGGAGGTCTGTCTGCTGTTCTCTCCCGTTTATTTGTGCTGCTTCCCTCTGTTCTGTTTTTCCTCCTCCTGGCATTAATCCTCTTTTTTATCCAGGGTACTTTGATCCAGGGGCTCGCTCCTGCTAATCTTATGCAGCATTTTGCGCCTATTCTGCAGCTTGGAGCTGTCTACATGATCAGCAACTTTACTGTCCAGCCACCGTCTCCGGTTTATCGCCCCTGCTCTCATCACCTCAGTATTCTCCTCTCACCTAACACTATGTTCGAAGATCTTACGGCTGAATCGCCTGATTTCTGGGATGATTCGTTTGAATTTGCTTCGTTTGCCTCTTTGCATTCACGGATTCGATCGTCTGTCAACCTTACAGGTATGTGTGCAGTATCAGTCCTCTTTTCTTACCTGTTTTATAGGTGCCTGTTTAAGTTTTTTGTTGCCTTTGGTTCCTGTTTCTGGTAGATGTTGTTGGCGTTGTTGTCAGCGTCACTGGTGTTTCCAACTCCGTTACTTCTTTTGGCGAAACTGTGCGTCGTGAAGTGGTTCTTCAGAATGAAAGGTTTGTGCCTTATTGATCGTCTATGCTTTCTCAGTTTGCCTTTTCTTCTTTTAACTTTTTTTTGACAGAACAATTTCGAGTTTTTTCGCAGCCACATGCTTCTTGATATTACTCTGTGGGGTGAAATTGCTCGGTCTGTGGATGGTGAAGAATTGGCTCACATTGGTCATGCTGGATCGGTGGTGCTTGGTATTTGTGCCCTGCGGGTCACTGGCGCCACTAAGGGTTACCTTCGACTGTACTTTTGCTCTTTCCTGAATTCTCCTTTTAGACTGTCGTTTGCTTATTGTTGTTTACCCTATATTCGTCACAGGAGGTTTCTCTTTATTCAGTACACCCGGAACACGCTGTGTGCTCGAACCAGTGTGTGAACAGACCCATGTGCTCCATTCTGCGTAGGTTTATGCTGATTGCCATGTTGTTTTTACCCCCTGCATTTTTCTTAACCTTGATTCTTGCCATTGTAGGTTCTTTGCTGGTACCAACACAGTTCAGTACTATCCTCCTAGGTTTTCAACCCCAGGCGAAGCAATTGCATTCAAGGAAAGCTGTACTAAAAGTGTATCGGAACTCCTTGAACTTTGCAGTCCAACGATTGCTGATGTAAGTTCTTACCTGTCTTCTTCTTTCCTCATCTGACCATGTAATTTACAGAGTTTTAGCTGCACATCTTCTTCCTATAGTTGCTTTTAAATTTGCGCACCATGCTATATTTCACTTACCAGATTTTTCCCCTTTTCTTAAGGCTACGCGCTATCATTGTGCTGCTGAAATCATATCCATCGAGTCTGAGCGTCCGTGGTACTACTTAGGCTGCTCATCGTGTTCCAAGGCTGCTAAACCTTATGAAGTGCCTGACTATTGGTGCGAAGACCATCG